AGGTACTGACTAACCCAATATGCCACAAAACCCACCTCCGCTGCTAATTGCAGAACGGTATATTACAGTGAAATCCTTTAGACTGTCGAAGATGATATACTGGGTCAATTGTGTACAAATATTTAAACGGACGTGCATCTGCATAAAAGATGTCAACTGTCGTGCACATCACACGTACATAACAATGCACACCCTCCATTTTGAATAATTCCGGGTACATCTTGACATGGACAGAATAAATAGTCGTAAATTATTTTTTGAAATTTTTAGCTTAAGGACTACACAACCATCCCAACATACATATAAGGCAGCATATTCTTAAAATAAAACTAGTTCACTAATAACGAGCTAGTAAAATTTGGCTTAAACTTAATATAGGTTGAAATTCAGGGAAATTCAGTAAATGAAACTCGTTCTTAAATAACCATTAGACCTATCAGTACAATCTGGCGAAACCTTAATCAAAATACAGTTGAAAATTCGGGTTGAGTTATACATCAGTCAAAACTCGTTCATAACAAACGCTCGGGTTCGGTACTTAAATTATCTGTACATTCTGGAGAAAACTGTCGGGCCATGCGTCAATATTCCGCTACATTTCCATTAGTACTGAAATACAGCATTGGATTTCAGAAAAAATATCATTATTTCGATGAATTTAAATTGGAACGAGATAAGACCATTTATAATTAAAATACAAGTCAAATCTTGCGACTTTTTGACCATGTTCTTCATTATTCACCATCTGGACGATTTATCTGAAGAAACTGCTGTCAATAATATTTGAAAAATAACTAGTAAACAATGGTGTTTGGCTACTAATCTGGTTTGGTCATTCAGGTCGTGTTAATCTTGGTTCCTTGTCAAAAACAATTGAAGTTAGAACTCCCAGAGGATCTCGTTCAATAATCTTCAAATGTAAATATCAGGAAAACGATATTAACAATGTGGAATCTGTGACAGGAATTCAAAGTTGATGACAGTTAATAGTCCGAGAAAAGGGAAATGACTCATGACATTCAGCTCTTAATCTGAAAGTAAGTATAATTTGAATTAGAATTGAATGTAAAATCTTGCAAGAGATTCTCCAAGGGGATCAATAAACAGGTATAATGAAGATCTTGTCATCATAGGTTAAAGAGATTTCAATTCAATGTACACAACTCGTGTGACGCGTAACTAAAATATCTAGGGTACACATGCTCGATTTCTGGTACTTGTACACCATAGCGATCACCAGTTGCGTATAATTGCGAATAATTAAGGTGGCCATAAGTTGCGTACGAAACTTATGACCGCTATTCTTATTATCAACCATACGCAACTGGTGATAGCCCTATATTAGTGTGTTTTGAAACGTAAATAAGATTCATGGAGTAATAAGTGATATAATCCAATAAGATTGGAAATTGAAATTTGCCCCAAACCAAGGATTCTGATATCGAGTACTATTTAACATGAAATAGTAACTATAAAGAATATGATAAATGATAAAGATTAAATAAGATTATGGTACCATCTGGACACTCGACTCGGTTCAAAAAATGAAAAATGAGTTTTCATTGAAGCGCTGAATGCGCATATTGTAAACAGCCTGGACACAGCTGATGTTTAAAGGACCAATGGATTTTAAGAGCTCCTTAGATTAGTCGAGTGGGTTTCGCCAAGCTGCGTTGACCATGTGTTTTAAAATTTACTATCATGGTTAAAATCGCGAAACCTTCCCCCAATTCATCTTTTGAGGATGGATCTGGTTACAGCCTACACTCATCCGAGATTCGTCTTTGTTGAATGGATATGGTTACAGCCAATAGACCTACTCAGCCGGGATTTGTCTCTAGGCCCAGGGTATGGAATTTGTTGCTGATTTTCCTTTTCAAATTTCTTTTTTAGTTATTTCTTCTATTTGAGGTTGTGTTCTGAAATGTAATTTTTCAAGTCTTTCATGTGTTCTTTCGTAATTGCCCTTCTGTACAACAAGAATCTGACGTCATGTGGAAGATCGAATATCTAGTGACCTTGGCAGTGACCTTGAAATGATAAAAGAGAAATGATGTATACAGAATCGTTCTAGGTAACTAAGCATGTCGGTTGGCAGTCAGTCGGAACACTGGCTTGTCAGAATATTGATGTGTCCATATATTAGCTCATTAATAATCAACAAATTGATGGTAGCCTACACTGAAGTCCAATGTCCAATTTCAATGGCAGACAGGCTTTTGAAGTGAACAGAAAAATGAAACAAAACCTAATTGCACCTTAACTTAAAGCATATTTTCTCGGTCAGTTTATCAGCATAGGAATTGTTCCTACAAGAAGCGCCTATTATATATTTCAACAACATCTAGGCCTGCTCTTCATTTCTTTGACTCGCCGCACCCTACATGCCTATGTAGCCTAGATTCGACGATTTGAGTGTAGACTTAGCTCTAACAAGAAACCCGAACGATGTAAATATCTCTCGTGGTAGAAGTCTATCGTTAGTCGACACAATATTTGGTTTTGTAAAATATCACACGACTCAATAGAGATGGCGGGAATTTGACGTTTGGTTGATTGAACAGACGATTGGGGGCCTCAGACAACAACTGTGAGCAAACAGAGTAAAATGAAATAGATACGATTGAAATTCCACAATTGATCTGGGTATGGAGGAACGACATCATAAAAGAATCTCAAATGAAAATGTCCGATCTTTTGAAATGGAATGTTCTGTGAAGAATGGTCGTCACAATGGCGGATCGTCTATATTTTCAAGAGCAAATATAAATCCGCTTGTTCAAATAATCCGAACACGTCTGTCAAATGTGATAAGCGATCTGTTTACATCTGCACTGGGGTTTTATTTTCAAAGAAATCTATTAATTTCAGATGACCTTATAAGCTCTCAAGGTCAGATATGAAAATCCCGTGTAAATGCTAATCTGCTTTAAGACGATTGTCACATTCATTGGAATAGTAAATTGTCGATTTTGATTGTCCCTTTGTAATCGGGAAATGCATCTTTATTTGATTTTCATTAACGGCGACTATTAAACGTGCACGTGTCAATATTCGTAAAACCCGACCATGTCCTCTCTAAATAAACAACATTAAAAACTTCCCTCCTTTCAGCACACAGGAATTTATCCCGGCTTTAAGTGCATTGTGCACAGCTGTTTCATTACTTTATAATGTGCAGATTTCGGTTGAGGTTTTTGTTGTTCATATCCCCAAAAAGTTATAAGCCTATGGGTGACGGACTAGCATAATCTTCGGCTTGTTTTCGTAACCTTATTTATATTCTGTAGATTAATAAAAATTATATTTATGGACTGGTTGAACCAAGTCCACGGGCCCTCACCCTAAGAAAAAATGTAGGAGGGCATATATGTTTTAAAAATATTTCTCGACCACGGACCCCCACTCATTTAGTTGAGTCACTGTTTATGGTGATATACCTACATGCAACTTCATTTAGAGACCTAACCAACAACTGAAACCATAAAAGCCTTCAACGAATTAAAGACTTAAAGAAAAATTAGTTAAAACAAAACCGATAATTCTTAACACACAAACTCTACAGTTCTATAGACTTTATTCCTCATAGATGATGGGGTAACTTCTTACATATCTAAAGAAAATGGACTTGCGTCAAGACCTTGACTGTACATGACACAAAACATATTTATCAGACATAAAAGTCAAATTTTAGATAATGAAAAAAGTCTATGAAAATGGAAAGAGGCATTAGTGGTAGGCAATTGCAACATCATTTCTTTGATTAGATGGTGATCTGACGCTGTTCCACCATTCCAACATTATTCGTGGGGTAAGTTGTAACTGTGTTAAGGTGCCTCCAACGGAAACATATTCGCGCCTCCCTCTCCCCCTTTATAGACACAATTTGTGATTACATGTGTCAGATTGCTATGTTACATTTTTACCCCATGGTCTGTCACAATTTACCCCGAACCCCCGGGGTAAGATGTAACAAAATAGATTGAATCCTTATCCTTTATTATTCTAGATAGAGATTGCATTTAAGGAAAGTTTGCGCAAAAGATAGTATAAATCCTGTCGTTTAAGCTCTTACAATAACACAAATTACTTTTCAATAATTGGTGTAAGTTTTTGTAAAATTGCAGAAAAATGTTTCAACTAGCCCGGTCTCCCCTAATCATCTTTATTTTTTATTTTCCAGCCTACATTAGTCTACATTTAATTTTTTTATTGGCTTGGTTTCTCAAACGAGGAAGAAATCACCCAATACGTTTCACTTCAATAAGCCCATTGGACTCAAATGTGGTATAAGGGAAACAACTCTATACAGTAACGCAAATTAAATAACATGGATTCGGTCTGTAGCGATGTTAATATCACTTTTTTGCAAATATCATTTTCCATTTAACCTCAATCAGTTAACACCAATTCTACCAACCACGACCTATGCTTTCGAGCGTCGGTCCAGTTAGTGCTGTCAATCCTACACATTATTATATATATGACTACCGGTACCGTTGGGGCCTTAAGTAGGTATTTGCACCAAGGCATCCATATAATTGTTCAGTTATTCGGCTCGGACATTCAGCTCTCTTGGCTTGGCTCATGCCAGGAATACCCCTTCTTCTAGGCTTTAATTTTCGGATTAGCTTAAATAAAATAAGAGTTTTGAATCACAACGACACAAGATGTATAATTAATCAAAGGTGTCATGTTTTCGCGTAGGCTGTATTTTCACCTTTTCTTATAACAATCAATAAATTGTATTGCGCAATCAATTCCTAGAAAACACTTCTATTGCCCAATCAAGTCAATTTTATTAGTACATGAACCATGGACCCGTGATTATGAGCGTAATAGTTAAAAACAGAATCCTCGTACCGAGTTTTCATTGGACACCGAATTCTAAGCAACAAATTAAATCACAAAGTAACTAAACTGGTTTCGGAATAAAGTGAAAGAATCGAACGCGTTCCGTCACGTCAAGCAAGGGGACATAACTCGTTATTTAGAAACAAAATGGCCGAAAAAAGCGATCAAGAAAAGAACGCCTCTCCTGCAAAAGACGGAGGAAGCCACACCATTCCATTAGAGGATGAAGATAAAGTAACACAAGAAGGACAATTTGTCGGAGCAACATTGGAGCTAAATGACAGCAACAAAACCGCGTCTGATTCGGTGACAGTCAATTTTGCTGGACCTGTGTCGGACAACAAGTCTCCAAAACAAACTACAACAACAACCAATTCGGCTGCTGGAAACCAGGAAGAGGGCAGTGGATTCAATAGGAACCGTCCAGGCTCTGTGATTGGAGGCAGAAGTGTCCAGAGTACATCAAGTAGAACGTCAATGAGACCTGGTTGTATCAAATCAGACGGAGAAACTAAAAGTTACTTTAGTTACAAGGTAGCGGTAAATACAACCTGCATGCTTTAATTGCATTTTATCTTAATTAATCTAACCCTTTTTATGCCCAATTCTTGAGTTGTACTAACTAGTATTAACCTTGACCTTAGATGTTCACATCATGTTATTATTAACATTGTTGTTTGGCTAATATGAACCATTTCCAATTTTATTATCAGTATTTTTTTTTTATACAATTACGCTTTGTTGGAGTATGTGTACCTTCATATAAGAGAATATCATGACAGGTAAATGATGCTTGAAGTTAGCAGACTTTCTTTGTTCAAGTACAGAGCCATAGCCTCCTCATGTAAGATCAATGCTTTATTTAATTTTGTTAAGACTTGTTATGTGGCATGATATTTAACAAGGAAGTAAATTTAACACATGTAGATTTACATGATTATCTTATACAGTGATGTAACCTATTTTCGTGGATATAAGGATTCAACACCAAATTTAAGTTAAAAAAACGAAAAATTTTGTTTATGTCTTATTCTACAAAATAGTTAAAATTGGTTTATTTCGATTTCCTTTATGAATCCTTCACTTTGATCCATATTTCATGAGCAACCAACTCGGCAACGGCAGCAGAATGCATCACCTATTTTCATGTACAATGTTTGATCTATAAGTAGGTCCAGAAAAACATGTTGTATGGATACCGGGTGGTATAGTTCACTTCTTAGTATTTATCTTTGATATCAATTCATTATAAATTGTGACAATTCCTTCAAAGAACCACGATTTAAAAAAAAAATAGTGACTGACAAAATAAGATATGTAGCGTGATTTATTGCTAAAAGTCACTGAAACAACATAAGAATATGGCCCATTTTGTGTTCCATAGATATTTTCTGCTGACACGGAATCCGCTAGTTGATCACGTGACTTCATTCGTTGGACTACATTCTAGCGACACTTGGAGTTCCGATTTCCGCTTGGAATTATAAGGAAATTCGGTCGATAAAAAATTATGACGTTTGGTAATAACTGAAATCCGCCATTTTGTATTTGTCAAAGTAGACATTAATACATTTTATCTTGCTTGAAACTACTGGATTCATTCTACTAGCTGATATTGTAGAGATAACACATGTTTATCAAAACAAGCAAATGCAGAGGTCACGCGAGGTCGCACATGTAAATTATTAATCATCTCCGGAAATGCACGAAAAATAGGTTAGCACGTAATTAGGTTACTTGACTGTATATTGAATTACAATGGTAATTTGCAGTTGAAATTTTAAGTAACTTCGGTCTTTTGAGGTAATTTAAGATCAGACCTCCGTATAAGATTTATCATTCATATTGAAATTTTGATTGCCCATTAACTTAACCTGTATGTTGTGCTGCATTTGTGACCATTTATCATATTAAGATATTTGTGAAACATTAGGACTAAGATTTTCAATTTTGAAACCTCTTAATGGCAATATCATTATTTAATGTAACCTTAGCTTATATGATTTCAATTACTATTGGTACATACATGAGTAAGACCTTTATCATAGCTTTAGGCTACATTAGTTGCGAAATTTAGCTTGAATATTGTATGCTTTATCAGTGCTTGGTAAAAGATTAACTTTCATATTAATATCAGTTTTTCCTTATTTTACTCCCAATTTTGCCTACAGAGCACTATAAAGTGCCTAATAGATTTGTCTTTTAGTGAAATTATTATTAGGAATTTAAAGAATAAAGATGTTCGCATGCCATCGCTTCCAGACAATTTTTAACTTTCTTTCTTGTTGTGTATATAATTCTTGTATGTTAGAATCTGAATAATGTCATATTTGAGACAATTTAATATCCCTCCAATCAAGCTTTTTCCCCTTATCTATACTGCTTATTCCCCCAATTATTAATGAAAAGGGAGGTACGGTATGAATTTTAGTTTTTCTTTCTCTGTATTTTTAAAAGTTACCATATTTATTGAACACTGGACCACAGTTCAGATTGAAGGAAGCCATGTTCCTAAATGGTTGTTAATAGATTAGACTGCTTTGCTTCTGCCTTGTGTTATTCTGAGGAAACTTTTTTATTTTCAATGATGATTTGATATTATATGATATAATTGTTATGGTCCTATGTTATGTTTCTGTTATAGGGAATGAATTTTAATATTGCTGTAGATGAATGTAGGAAACATATTAATGATGAATTGGATGGTAAATATATTGGAAGGTGGTTGCTATCTGAGTAAGTTTATCATATATAAGTAGTTTCTTCTGTATACAATACACATATCTAGACTCAGGTTTTTATGGATAATAATTGTGAAAAATGAATAGATTAGGTACAAAATGGTGTTTGAGAATAATGATATTATAATTTTCAGCATTTATAGTAAATGAATGTAAGAGGGTTGATTACCCATGTTCTATACTCATTAAAAATCCTTTTTTCATATGGAATATCTCTCTAGGTTTTCAGGATAATTCATAATATATAATTTAATATTTGTTTTATCTAGAATTGACCACTGGAATTTGGATAAAGAGAAGTTGGTAATATTAACTGACAATTCTATTTTGGTATTTAAATATAACTTTATTACGCAAGTTTTATTTGAGTTTAAACGTATAATGTTACATGGTATTGATACTATAGCTATTGGTGACTTCAAATACCCTGATTACTCTGTCATGCCGTAAGTACCTTGGTGTTTTATATTAGACTGACTAATCTATATTTGTGATGATAGTCAGTGGCAGAACCAGGTTTATGTCTGAGGGGGGGTGGGGGGGGTCGAAATATCTGGAATTGTCCAAGTTTTAAAATTAAATGAGAGTTTTGTCTTGTCCAAAGGCTATTTAGCAGATCCACAATTCAAAATTTTTCAGTGAGTAGGCTACTGCATGTAGCTCTTAAAGCCTTGTTTTCAGTCTTGGAAGATTTTTTTTCATGGTAAGCTCTTTCGTTCTGGCTGGAGGAAAATACCGAAACCATAAATAAATCTATTAAATTTTTAGTGACAGAAAACATGGTGGAATCCAGATTCGCTGGAATAAAGGTCAAGAACCAACATTCGGTCAACGCTGGAATCCCTGGTCCACAGATATCCCATGGTTGTGTTTTGCTCACCACCCTGTACTGTATCATCCTAAAGAGAACGAAACTACAACTTACAATGTAGATGATTTCTATGAGAGTTTGGTACAGGCTGCTAGTAAATGTTTTGAAGAGAAACGTCCTGGAGAAAATATCACAATTGTTGAAGGTCCAATACTTATTAACAGCTACGCTAGCGTTGCAGCTGTCGTACATAACCAAAGTGGTATCGGTTTCTTTAGAGATAGAAATGGTATTTGTTATTGAAATTGTTAAAAACCAAACATCTATTTTGCTCACTTATTTTGTGAATTTCGAAAAAATAAAACCATTAGTTATTTGTGTCAAATGAAATCATTCATACAATAATTTTCCATCATACTTGGACTGTGTTAGTTCTCAATGGCCAATTGCTTTTACTACCTATATATTAATTGAAATTAGGAGATCCTTTTTTGTAACATCTAACTTACTATCACCTTTAAACATTTATATTTCAATTAATTCTGAACTAAACTGACTGTTCTGTTTTATTGATTACAAAATGTACACAACAATTCATAGTGAAATTGATCACCAGTTCACATATTTCTACTGTATTCTATTTTAACAAAGTTCTAATACAGAAATGCCTGTAAATTATCCTACCCACAAATTTATGAGCATAAATTAGACTTTTTCATAAATATAAAATAAATATTATATTCGTTATTAATCCTTTTGTCAGAAATAAAGATTAAATTGAACAATATTTTGATAATAAATATTTATATTTTGATTATAATAACGTTACTATAGTGAAGATTGTAACATTCAATTTACACTGTTACTTGTTTGTGCATCACCATCTATTTGTTTACATTATTAATTGTTGTATTTAAATTAGATTATAACAGATCTCAAATCTACTTGACAATAGTTTTGAGATCTCTTTGTTCATGCACAGAAAAAGGCAGATTATAAATTAGACTGTGCCTTTTTTTTTGAAAATTTGATATGTGATGTTAAATGGTTAATGCAAATATTTGATATATCTTATTGTGATGTACTATTTCTTAATGTTCCTTATTATTTTTTTCTGTTATATGATAAATATGTAATCAAACTAATTTATTTTCAACTTATATTTCTTATGAAAAGAATCAACACCTCTTTTACAACATAAAACTTTTAATATGAAATTTATAAACCTTGAAAGATCCATGACATTGGCTACTTATTAGTACAACATGAAACCAGTTCTGACACTATTTATCTTAAGCAAGCAGATGCTATGGATGTATTTACCTATTTATAAAACCAATATGTTTTAATTTTCTTACATATTATTATTATTAGATGTTAATATATTATTATTGATTATATAATGTGGGTTCTATGTTGATCACTTACTGTTGAAACTACATAGGGTGTATGGCTTTTCTTGTTGGACAAACAGGTAGTAGGTTATGCACTTTACTGATATAAACAGTTCTAATGTCCAAAACTTGTTGCCTCAGATAACTGCTGATGAAAGATTTGACCAGCTTGAGCCTGACAAACTATAAGATTTGTTTAAAGATTCTCTGTATTCACTGGTATGGATGAATTCAGCCCATTTTACAGGCATCATTTTGAGAAGTCAACAAGACTTGGACCTGATTTAGTAGTTGTTCAATGAATTTGATTTCACAGACTATGCTTGAATTAATTGTTGATTTTTTTTATTTTTTTTACAAATTCTTGTTGATCTTTATGTCTTAATGTTTTTTTAAAGAGGAAAAAAGTTAAAAGATATTTGATTGCTGAAAACATAAACATTAAAGTTGTGTAAATAGCACTGATGATAAAACATACTAGTTCCAATTGCTATTTAATCTTGTACAACTTGCAGTTTTGTTTTTGTGCACATATATTGGCTTGTGTGTTGTGATGATATTTTAACAACAAAATTTGTTTTTTCTGCATATATTGGTTGATATTGTTCAGGATATTCCACTATGCATCTTATATTACTCTGAAGACTGTATAATTTGTGTGTTCACTGCATAATTTAGTTAATTTTTCACTTAATAGATGCATTTATATTTAACTGCTTTGAATTATGATCATATTTTATATTATACCTCACAGACAAAGCAGCAAAATAGTAGTTAAACTTCCAAAATAATAAACCTTCTTAGAATTGAAATGGCACATTTAACTATTTAAACTACCTTAACTTTATAATTTGGAGATCTATGATTGGTCAATATGTTAGAATCATTTTCTTTGAAACATTTTTTGACAAGAAAAAAAAAAAATTTTTTCAATGTATCAATTTCTTACAAATTAAATGTGCCATTATTGTTGAAATAAAAATTTTTCCTAAAATATCTCTTGGTTATTTCAAATAGATTTGTTTGAGCATTTCATGTTCAGTATTAGAAATTAGTTGAAGTTGTTTTATTATCATATTTTAACAAGCCTAAGCCTTGTTTGATGACAACTTTTAAAAATGTAACCCAAGGAACATTCCATTTTATGGCATAGTGCCATGTAGTCCCTCATATAATGTGTTTAAAAACCACTAATTGCTTATTATTATTATTAAATTTGAAAGGTCCATTACAATATTGATTTTGATGTTCGATATTATTAATTAGTTGTTAACACTTACAATCTGTGATTTCTCTGTTGCATAATTTTCAATAAGTGTGTTTCAATATAAATAAACCATACTTTTTGTCTGTGATTTTTCGTACTATATAATACTGATACTGTCAGGAACCTGACCTGAGCCCAGCTATTGTTGCTGAAGCATGTTTTAAAAACACAATCCCCATCAGAACTTCTATTTTTTTGGAAATACAGGCATATGCGCCCAGCCTCCCAAGACTGAGGGTACAAATGTCAAGGTTGCAATTTAAATTGTGCAAGCCTCCCATGATGCTGAGAAGGTTCTCTCCAAGATAATGGAATTGATTTGGTGCTTTTTGGAGTAAAAATGTACAAGGAATTTGTTAGCAAAGAAATGAGGGTACAGTTGGGGGTGCAAAACATTTTCTAGGGGGGGGGCAAATGTTAGTAAAAGTTTAAAGTTAGTAAAAAGACGACAATTGACCAAAATCACATGTAATTTATGTTTATCAAAATTTTATTATAAATATATAATGATTTGATAAAGGACGGTAATAGCAATATATCAATAACTATCTTAACAGAATTTGCAGTAGTCTGTCCATAATAATAATAATAATCATTGTTCAGTTTTTATCCATACATCAATCAGGATTCTCGACTACGATTGTCAGCGTTAATTAATACACACATCATATCTTTATCTAATAATAGTAAGGAATCTCCAGTGGGATGCCATGATAAAGAATGAACAGCAAAGCGACCTGAAATGACAAATTTTGGGATTAGAAACAATAGAAACTAATTTAAAATCTCCTCCATGATTTTTGACATTTAGTTGTCGAGATTGAAATATTCTCCATTTTTTCTGCACTAATTTGGGAAAACGTGCAACGGTTTAAATTTTGACAGGACTGCTTACTCATTTCTATCAATCTGTTGAGAGATCTTTTAATGTATTAAGCATGTACCACACAGGGCCTTGGTTTATAGTCCCATCTGGACACCTGTTAGCTCCTTCGACCTGACAGGGGAAACCGGGGTAGAAAAGTCCAAAGGGATTATCTTGAACCATGTCTGGATTAAAACTCTGGATGTTCAGGATAGAGAGAAAGCATCTAGGTCGAAGAGCCACCATGGCTCTTCCTTTAGAAAGAGACAGGCATCAGAACTAAAAAAATAATCTGTACCAACCTGCAGGAACATCGACAGATAAACAACCTTCTGGTGACCACATATATAACTTATTATTACCTGTACATAAAGCTAAACGTGGTTTCACTGGATCCCATTTTACACCTGAAATATCAACAAGAACATATCATACTGGTAATTTGCTACAAAATCGTCACACCTATTGCCTGTTTTGGCATAAATATAACAGGAAATAGATCATCAGCTCGTATTGCCAAAATCATTGTTCCACAGAATGAAATGAAATGGTGTTTTAAGTTTTACTTTTCTGCTTCATATTGGGCTAATGGGCTAGATTGAATGTGGTGTTGAGTTAAGCATTTTACTAGTAAGAACACTGTAGCTTTACTAAGAAAAATAGGAATTCTGCAACAGTTATCATGCATCATCTGGTTTGTGAGTAAAATGAACGATAACTTACATTTAATAGGGGCAGCCTGTATTAAAACTGAACATAATGCTAATCTTTTAATCTCCCAGATCCACAGCACACATGGCATATTATCTACAAACACAGATTACAATCAATACTGTATAATTATGATTATTCTACACACTCTTCTTACAATGCAGTACTTTAACAAATCTTCATTTTACAACTGATGCTGGAAAGGGTGTTTGTGAATAATATGAATGTTTAGATCTATAATTTAACATATTATGTCAGATAAAGTCAAACTTTTTATCCATTGCACCAATCTACTTTACTTGGATATGCTGGTGGCATTAGCATCAAGCTATCTTTAAGTGCACAGTCTAATTAGCGAGTAGCTATCTCTTCTATTTCAGCCTCTACAACTTGAGTCTTTTGTCAAACTTACCATTTCTAGTGAGCATATATTTGGTATCCGGACTAAAGTAAGCAGTGCTGACACCTATTTTAGGGTGAGCTTTATTTACATTAGGTTTGACTGTTGGAACTTCAACTGGTAATGGCTGACATTCATCTGAAATAAAACAAATATCAACATACATATTATTAATCTATAATAAACAAACATATAATATGCCCATACATCAACCAATTGCTTCATTTGATATTTTGACAAATTATTGAAAAAGATTTGATCCATGTTTTTTAATACAGGCCGTTGTGTTCTAAAATAAAAATGGCCTTTTAACCATGAAAAGTTGACTTAATTTGATCTATGTACTTACATTTACTCTGTGAATTAAAGAGTGATGCTGTAGGAGGATCTAGATCTACTGGTGCTGTAGGAGTTCTGGTTTCAATCTCTTTATACACTGCCTACAAACAAACAAACAAACATCAACACTTCAATCAGTCTGCTTAAGTCTCTTAAATCTGTCGTGTATGTTAGCAAAATAACATTGTAAATTGTCTGAAGAAATGTGTTTAAAAATCCAACAAGTGTTGTAATATCAGAATGATACAACTGGAAACCTGAAGTCTACCCAAAACTTAAAAACCTCAATCCCTTTCAAAGATAACATTTGAACTGCATATTTTACAAAACTTACCACATTTTCTGTATCAATAGTCTCAGGATGTGAAAATTCTATCAATTTCTGCCATGTTCTATTATTTAATATTCGTACCTGCAATAGACATAAACATGGGAGATAACTCTATTGATATTCGGGGTTAACCTTTGGACTTGATTCAAGCACCAATATCACAGTTTACTCTTTATCAAACTCAACTTATGATAGTGATTTGTCTCTCTGATTTAGTTTTTATTATTCTAGATATTTAAAAACAAAAGTTCACATCTCTATATCAGAAATAAACTTTCACCATATTTGTCATGATCTATAAACATTTTGATTGATGTTGGCCCCCGTTTTGTCATTGTCATTAAGGTTTGAAACACTTTAAGTAGGGAAGACTGAAGGCAGTTATTTCTAATATATCATATTTCAAATATGGTTTACACAAAGCAACTTGATAAATAAAACACAGATAATATTTATCTTTTGAGGAAATAAACTACTTACAAATATCATTTATCATAATAAAATGCATTGATCATATATAATTCTTATATACATTATATATATTTATTGAAATTCCCCCAAATTAACAGCTTCATGTTTTGTCAAGTTATAAATTCTTTCAAAAATCTCAGGGAACTACTTTTTCTCTTTGATCCCTTTTGAAAATAAAAATTCATCAAAAAGTCATTAAGTGAAGTTTTGAATATATCAAAAGGACGTTCTATATTTCATACTAGGTTGTCATAGAAACAGTATTGTTGTACCCGTATATGAAACTGCTAAGAAGGGATTGGGCGTTAAAAGGTTATTCAAATGTCTTGAGTCTGATCAAATCACTTGACTGGATTATTTAAGAGTTGGCCATTAAATTTTAAGGTCATGTTTAGGGTCAGATTATTGATAGAGTATAATAAAGGGGTTGGGAGAAGAATAGGTGTATGTTTTCTGGGGTCAGGGTAACGAATGAGGTATATTGGAGGGGTCAGCGTAATGAATGAGGTATATTGGAGGGGTCAGTGTATAGAATGAATTATATTGAGGGGTCAGGTGTGAGTGTACAGAGTCGTGAAATAAATGGGATGTTTGTTGATTAAGGGTTGAAGTGTCAAGAGAATTAATGGCCCTTACAGATTACAACTGAGCAGTTTAAATTAATATTTTCAAATTTTAATTAGAGTTCAGATTAGGGGTTCAAATTTATAAAAAGATTTATTTTTACTCCAGTGCATTTTTAAATACTGAACATTTTTTTTATCTGACCTTCTCAACCTAATTAGTGGGATTTGTGTACTTACTTGAACTCCAACTGATGAATGATCTTTAATATGCACAGTTTACATGCCTAACTGGCAGCAAAACCCATTTCATAAATCATCTTGGCGTATGCCTGAATTGAATGCAGGATACCAAGTTTCTAACTCTTATTTCTCTTATGAGCACTTATGATAGTGAGTTGTGATGATATTTGACAAATCTTTAACATATATTTGTTATCATATTCAAAAGTTCCAGACACAAAAACAGCTGATAGAAACCATTTAAACTATCATCAGCAAAATCTGGCTATTTTTCTTAAAACTTCAAGTATTTTCTTCACGCTTTTTATCTACCCTATCTATCATATTACCTATTAAGTTCTCATTTCATTAGAAATATACCACTATAAATATTAAAGTATGCTGATCTCATTGACCCACATATGTTCAAAGGATGATTAAACTTATACCAGATCAAGTTAGGTTCCATCAGGTTTTTGAAGAATATGGCAGAAATACAGTATCTCTAATTACCGGTATTAAAATACTGCTCATATCTTTAGACAGTGTTTAGACTCCAACTAATCTGGCCTTCAAGGGATAGTTTATCTACAAATCAATTTGATAGCATCAATTTGCACCATTCCAATATTCAATCAGACGTCTGTTGTTCCTGCAATTCAACTAAAACTTAGCCTTTTATGAAATCACTAATCGTAAAATATCCTTTATCACACAAGCCCCTTTGTGATTTGTGACGTCATGAACACTTAGTATTATTGGAATTGCAGGAACCACAGATGTCTGATTGAAAATGGAATTCATTTGTCCAGTAATTTAGAGTTTAAAATTCTTAGTACTTGTACTTTGTGTAAAGAAACAAAATCAACAACTAAATTTTAGAAGGTTAATAACTTAGATTCACTTAGAATATTTTCTACCTACTGGTCCTTGGTTAAGCCTCTTGATACTGATCTTTACCAGGTTTATACCCACTACCACTATATGTTCTACTTAACCAGGTAAATAATGTCATGCATAGAACCAACTGATTGTGTTACAGAAACCAACAATAGTTTTAAGAATTGATGAGAAACACTCTTTTAGACAATCATCCTTTAACTATCTTTTGTCATAAGACCCCCTGAAAAAAAATCTTAAAAATCTTAAAGTACCGTTATTTAATAGAGATTCACGTGATAATGTTTCTCAGCTCATAACACCTGAGTGAATCATAAAGGTTTATTACATTGTTTTCAAACTCAGAATAAAAGACCTAGATATAATGTTATCACCATAAAAAATGAGACGTAAATATAACGGTATATTTTGAAAGAAAATCATATATGTCTATAAAAACTGATAATGGACTGTTTTAAATAACAATAGTTGTTGAAATGTTGATGTAACCCACGTGTGAAGAGTGACAGAATGCAGGGATTACATGTTTTGAATACCTATTGGTTGAAGTATAGACTTGTCGCCAAATTTCTTTATATTTCAAATGACCCAATATATTGAAGAAGATTATAGGTAATAATTACACAATGAGGAAATCTAGCTTTTGAATTCTAATTTCTGATCATGTTGGAACTTGATAGAACAAGATTCTAAATGAAATTACTCTTTCATACCAGTACAAAGCCAAAAAGCATGGTGTATTGCGCAATAAGAAAAAATGCAGGCTTCAACAATTTGGCTAAATAACTAGTCTAAATTTCTCTATCTCTTCATACAAAATATGAAAGGGTCAAACTTTAATTAAAGCTCTTGCAAACCCAATATATGTTCTGCTTGATAAATAAAATCTAGATCTTTCATCTATGTAACCTTGTTGTAAAGAAAGTGAAAAGCAATAGGCAATAACTTTATGTCATTCTGTAAAAGGAATCTTACACTTAACCAAATAACACTACATCTACATCTGAAGCAAGTATGAACCAAGAGACACTACATCTACTACTGAACCAAGTATGAACCAAGAGACACTACATCTACTACTGAACCAAGTATGAACCAAGAGACACTAAATCTACTACTGAACCAAGTATGAACCAAGAGACACTACATCTACTACTGAACCAAGTATGAACCAACAGACACTAAATCTACTACTGAACCAAGTATGAACCAAGAGACACTTCATCTATTGCTGAACCAAGAAACACTGCATCCAATGCTGAACCAAGAGACACTATATCAACCAAAGGTCACAACATAAACTACAAAGTTAGGGAGGACTATATTGATCTACATGCAGAATGACCCTTATTCAACATAAACAAATGCATAAAATTGACCAGGATCCATTCTAGTGTTATACTCATACAAATTCTTTATAATATGAACATTCATGCGTGTTTATATCCGCTATATTTCTTAAATTCTTAAATTGATCAACACATTATTAGATGTTATTCTATATATTAATAATAAAAGATTTTGAGTATACAAAAGCATCTACTAGCTGATATATATTGTTATCAGTTGACTTAATAAAACTACTATCTATAGTATAAAGCACTAATATTTAGTCTTCAATTGTCTCTATTGACAAGTTTATAACATATTTATTACTTCCCGGAATTTTCTAAGAAATACTTATCAAATATGCCCTACATTTCAACACTTAATAATTTTGTGTGATTTGTAGCCAATTATATACCAATAAATAATCATGTAAACCCTACATACTCAGTTACTTATACAGCTTAATTGCAATATAACAATAGATATTCACAGAATATTAATCAGAGCATTCAACAACAGGGTTTTTGAAACTATTTAAACCTAATTGCAAGGATTTAAGGAAGTATTCCTCTTGGCCTTGAGCTTGCTGGATTATCTGTACATTATCTATACAGCTCAAAGGTACTTATGGACAGGATAGCCTTTGATTTTGTATTATAAAACTACCAATCGACCGACAGAATCTCAAATGCTTTACCAAAGGATATCCTGTCCACAAATACAGTCTCTGATACAGCTGGGTAGACTATTCAAGATCAGCAGAACTGTAAATGCTATCCCAGATTAGATCCCACAAGCATCATCTTTGTCATAACCAAGTAATTGACATCAAATGCTCAATCCCAATGTTCAACAGTCTGTCCTACAAAAGGACTAAAGGAGACAACATCTCTTTTATCAAACTTGAAACTATTATCAGACATTGTTGAACTTCAATTCTCTAGAAGAAAAGATAACATATATATTGTCAACATTGTTATCTTTTACAGGGAAAATTATGTACCTGGTGGGACCAACATCACAATCAGGGCTTAGTTTAAATGAAATGAAATGAATGGAGTTTTATGTCCTACTTTTCTGCACCATGTGGGCTAATGAAGACGGGCAACGCCATGCAGGGTGCAAAGAGGGAAATTTTGCCAGGACTTTCCAACTGTCGTGGGATCTTAAACGTGCACAGCCTGTAGCACACGGGGTCTCACTTTATTGTCCCATCCGAACGACTAGACGTTTTTCCATGTCAGCCCCTCTTACCTGTATCACTGACAGGGGGAAACCGGGTTGAAAAATCCGAAGGCATTATCTCAACCTATGCCGGGATTGAACCCGGGACCTTCAGGTTAGCGAGCAAGCATCTAACTCACTGAGCCACCGCGGCTCCCAGGGCTTAGTTTAAGAGGTATCGAATAGCAGTATATGAGTCAAAATAACCCCTTTTGCAATCCAATATTTCTATTTCAAATCAAATTGTATATTTTTCATGAGAATTTTCTGTCTAAGCTAGAAATAGCCTTAATAACTTGATAAGCCAAAACAGAATTTCGTGTGATAAATTTTTCGATCTAAATTGACTCCAGTATGATTACCAACGTCTGTTGAAAGAGTTCAAAATAAAGCTCATAAAATATCATGTATACCCAGCAATCCCTGTGTTCACACTTGTTTCACCAATAGATGTAGTGTCTCTTGGTTCACACTTGTTTCAATTGGTTGTAGCCATCTGTCAGCATAAACCGCTCAACAGGGATCAAATTGGAGTTCAACCCTAGTGAAGTCCGGAGTCGACACTCAGAGTTTTCGACGAGTGAACAACTGTCCCCGGGCCGACCCTTAGTAGACCTAGGGATTTTACTCTCTTGGTTCAGCACTTGGTTCAGCAGTAGATGTAGTGTATCATGACCATGGCCTCCTCCTCAAGCCTGTGATAGGTCATATTTTGAAATGAAAATTAAGCCCTCTAATAGGTCAAAATTTATCTCAGGCCATCTGAAATCCATTGGGTTCTGGGGACCCTGACCCTCACCTCGGAAAGCACCTACTATTTTTGGTTTCCTCCTCAGGCATTTTGTAGATACACTCCTGTCCATTATGTTCTACTTCTGTTGAAATTGGAGAGCTCTGTCATATGAAATTTGATGGAAACTTTATAACAATTGCTTTTGAGAACAAAATGTATGAACATAAATTTAATGTATACTAAAGTTCAAACATCTGAAAGGAAATCAGTAACATTATGTGTATGATTTGAATTTCGAATTCAAATGTTCAATTGAAAAGTTTGAACTGATTGAAAAGAATTGAATAGTAAAGACTTTCGATAGTCCATATAATGGGTGGCTAAAGGGTAAAATATTTCCCTGTATCTAAAGTATATGAGGGGTGTAATATCGGCTGTGTTACAAGGGTTAATTTCTTATATACTTGTTACTGTTATCTTTATACTAACTGTAACACCTATAACACCTGGCTCCCCTGTAGTTATACCGTTATTTAACATAAAACCCCTATTGTATGAACCGAAAGATAAAATTGTAAGGGAATGAAGCTAAATTTCAAGTAACATATGCATGGATAAGTAACTCATCAAGTGGAAAGTATAATATAACTTGAAGTTAACGTTTCATTTTAGACTTACTACATCTATATTACTATCAGGTAAGACCATTTTAACTTCAATATTAATTCTGATTTTCAGTAAAGTTTGAGATTCGGAGTTGATGTTTGTTTTAAGTAATAAAGGACTACAGTGACCTCTATTGTTTACTCTGTTGTATGACAAGAATGGAGTTACTTGAAAATAAGTTCAGAACATGTTATCTATTGAAACTATTGGATTTAAGATTTAAACATAGGACTATAAGTTTAAGCTAATTAACAATGCTAAGATTATAGTTTTGTGTGCTTGCATGTTTTAAGTGTGTGCATGTATGATTTTCTAGATAGATTAAACATGTTTTGGAGGATCAAGTTTATACTTGTTGTTCCTCATATTAATGGCCCCTATATATGTGAGGTTCTGTAATAACGTACTCCCTGATTTAGTATATCAGTGAAGTTAACTTGATTAATGGATATCTAACTTACTTCATTCAACTTCATTATTACTATAAATTATTTTTAATTCATTTAACTTTTGAAAAGTAAAGTTTTGCATTGATCAGTACTATTGGTGTTGAACTAAATACATACTTTTTGAGGGCATGATTTTTTTAGAACCCTAATAAGATAGAATAAACACTTTTGATCCATAACACAAATTGCCAATTTTTACATCTTACAAACTGTTTTCTTTTGTGTGTCTAGATATTCTTTATAAATGAAGAAAAGATCAATTAACAATCACTTACAATATAATCACTATAATTTCAAACTTCTTGCTAAATGTACCTTAAAGTTATATTTTCAAATAAAATGTTTAATAAAATTAAATTCGATGCTAAAAGCATGTAGTGTTAAGATTGAGTCTATAAGCCAGAACTTATCAAGTTTAATGCCCATGATTATAAATTCTGTAATCAACATTATGGGCAAATCAAAATGTGCCCATCCTTTCAGAACACTAAATACAACTTTGTGACCGAATATGTCAAGTGAATTTTCAGTATTCTAGATTAGAAAAGTTGGATTGACAAAAAAATCAGTGCGTAAATTTATGGTTTCCATAGAAACTATATCAATAATAATAGACATTTAGAGATATTATCAAACTGAACAGCTTATAGAGTCAAAACACAAAGAAATATAACAAATAATACTGTGGCTGATAACTTACTTTTGAATACTTTGATCATATATTCAAGTCCTAATATTAGAAAGTTCATTCCCATTACCCAGCATTCTGTCCTGATGATGTTTTATATCTGGAGAATTAATAAGATGAGATGTAGTTTAATAATTTTTATATCAAACATGAAATTGTACTTACCTTCTCATCGTAACTTCCAACAGCCAGAAATTGCGATGTTGGTGACCAGGATACTGTTTTGATTCCCAGGGCCCAATCATATGCTGAATAGGTTGATAACAGTCTTCCATCTGGATGATAGATCAGTATCTTATACTGAAAATAAAAGGCAATAACAGGTGCAAAACTTCTTAATAATAGCACATTATCTAAAAGCATGACAATGGAGAAAATATACCCTTCCAATCCACAATTCATAAGTCAAAGTATGTAAGTCAAAAAGCTACCCTGGACCACTCCAGATGAAATGACAAAATTTGCAGAACGATTAATCTGTTAATTCTGTTGCAGAAATTATAACTTCTTGGGTATGCTAAATCAATTTAAATAGTTGATACAAAATGTCATTTGTATTTAAGTGACAGAATCAGACAGAATTAAAAACAATTTGTGGACAAAATGAAGGTCAAAATGATAAGTTTATCTATATGATCAATTGATCAAGATAATGATAATAAAATATTTCCTGAAATTCTATCAGGGGCCATTTTATATTTTAATTACATATATTTAGGTATTAAGATAAATAATACATATGATATAAGGTATCACAGCTACGTGCAGGTTTGGTCTCTCAGGTATATCTTGAAGGGTGTGTAATCTAGAACACTGTAGCCCCTCAAGTATACCTTATACACCTGACCTAAATAAATAGATAAGTAGAGTTGTGTTTAGGGAGTGATAGTAATTTATATAGCCCATATGTTGAACAAATTAAGTAATATTCAGAGATAACTCCATCAGGGTTTTTATCTGCATTAAGAATAGCATAACCTTATTTTTTCAATTGCACCAAAAATGATTTGTTTTCAATTTTGGTGTTACCTGCTTAATGGAACATGAAAAAAGTATGTTATAGTTTAAAACATGTTGAAGAGACATGACTAAAACTAAGCTTATTACCTACTGATATATTATGTTCAATATATTACACAGCAAGACTGAAGTGATTTTCAGGGTCATTATCAAATGACATGATTGATATAGTCTCCAAGGACAGATCTTATACATTTAAAATATCAACCCCTGGAATTTAAACAGTACTTTATCCAACATCCTGCCATGAAACATCATAATATCATCAACTATTGATATATTATGAGAATTTATTAATAAATAAATCAGACTTTTCAACTTTTTCATTATCTAATCTAACATATTATGCTTAGTCATTGTCATTATGCTAAGATTGTAAAGAAGTTTTCTAATTTGTATATGTATCAAGGACACTGATAGCATTGATATGCATCATTCCAATTTTCAGTAAGACTTTGGTGGCTCTTGAAATTCTGCTAAACCTTTAAATCTTATGATTGCATGAACATCAGAAGTCTGGTGGAAAATTGGATTGGTGCATATCAAGATTATCAGTGTCCCCAAAACTCATAAAAAAAGTTATAAATCCTCTTTACAATCCCTTTAAATAGTGTAGTATTCACAATAATATGCAGCTAAAGCACTTTCTTATCTTATCAATTTCAGATAGAGATGCCTGAATTAGGGAGTTGCATATAAAATCATCAAAATTTAGTTAACCATTTATCCGTCCTGTTTAACACTGCCATCATCCAATCATGATACCAACTCATCATTTACAGCAGAAATTTAACTTCAACTACAATCCAGGCTGCAGGTATGTTTTTGTATAATAATTGTTACACACATTAACTTTTACCTAATATTCTCAATAATAAGTTAAAGGAAGTTTCAGGTCTTATTTAGGCTTACAAAATGCAACACCAAGTAGGTGCAGTGTGCAATGAAGACAATTTTACCAATATTACTTCAATATCATATTGTCTGGAAAACTTTAACATAAGGGGTAGAAAAAACTACAGGTAATATCTCAACCACTGCCAGGATTCAATTTACCCCCAGGTTAGCAAGTTGCTTTTAAATTGCTAAGCCACCCTTTCTCCTAACTTTCTTTATAACTAACATTACAAATATTTATATAAAAATATAATCATGACAAGTCATCCATAAAGCTGACATTGTGAAATTGGGAAAAATCATCGATCATATTTCAGAATCAGACTTTTCACAAGTCAATAAATAATGAGTCAAAAAGCCATTATCAAGAAGACAACAAAAGACAAGGAAACACTGGATAGGAGGTTCCGCAGGTTGACTTTAAATACAACCAATATGAGAAACAATAACGGTCTGACCAGTTGACCATTACATGGACAATATTGTTTTCATGCTTGATAGATTCTCACCTTGAACATTATTTTAGCCTATAATTGTATTACCTTGGAGATAGTGAATCAATAGTTTTATTAAGGAAAATCATTTTCACTGACTTTAGATATCTTGCCACTTAATCAATAATAAAAATATATTTGATAATTTCACAATTTATCAGATTTAGTTTTATAAAAAAAACTCAAAATTGAAACTGCCTTTCTATTATGCAATTATTATTTGATAATTTTGTAATGTAGTCAGTAAAATAAAATCTCAAATTTATTTTTAGGAACTGTGTCTTATTGTGTAAATTGTAAATTTTTGAAATGAGAGTTTTATCTTGAACTTTCTCAATAAATTAAGACTGTAGATTAGCAGGCAAAACCTGTAGTAAAGATACTGAGCTACCATAGGCTATAGCTGTAATCTAATTCAAAGAACAATACATTTACTTTCAAGTTCATTACATTGATTACACAGTTCATTCAATGTACCTCAAGGCACTTTCTATTCTCAATTTATCAATTTTGAAAATTCCATTGTTCTTATCAAAGTGTACATTAAATTTCTTTCCATAATAACATTGTATATTATGTAATGTAAAGAGAATGAACAGACAATGATAGAGTTAAATACCCATGTGAGGGTGTTTTAAGAAACATCATATTGTTTGATCTCCTTGGTGACTGGACACTAGGTCTCTGATAATATTGGTCATTTCCTTTCAATATTCAAACAATTAACTCATTCTTTCGAAATAACAGATAATCCCACTGACTTCTGTCAATTTGATATAATTAATGTGATCATCATTCACTGATCCTTTAACTTATTTATCAAGCTCATGTTCAATATTGATGTAAAGTTTACCTTCCCTCAGGCTCTTAATATACACAAACTTCTTAGGGTGATACAGGTAATTTCAACTGACAGACAGTCTTACAGACTTACCTTTAATTCACACTCCCAAACAGCTAGGACCCAATCATTAGGTGACCACTGTATACCAGCTAGATCTTCTGTTTCACATTCAAAATTCTAGATGAGACAATATTAATATATTAAACTTGGTATATAAAATATTTCATGAAAAAAAAATAACTTTGATGGCCATAAAAATTCAAAGGATTCGAATATCCTGAAGGCTCATCAACTACAGTTCAGAGAACTTATAAAATAAGCTAAGGCTAACACAGCTTAGTTCATAACCCTTCTTGTATAATTAAACAGTCTCAAATAAACCCATTGTATTAGAGCTCAAAAGAGTCAAATAAGTAATGAAAAAAAATATTTACTAGATGAAGAGATGCAAAATAAAAACAATGAAATAAATTGACAATGATCTGGCAATATTATTTTGAAACAGATGAGTTGCTATACCAACCTATATATATCTGATGACATAAGATGTTTCAGTCTCATATCCAATTTACCAATCTTACCTTTAATAAGGACCAGTTATCACAGGCAAAAACACTGATATAATCAGAACAATCTCTTCTTTCAGCAAGTGCCATAAATTTACCATTATTACTGAACACTAAACCTTGATTTAATGAATAAATGAAATTACACCAGCCTATTTATCATATATATTTGGGTAATTGACAACAAACAATAATATAGCATCATGAGAGATGTTTTACCAACTTTAATATTTTTAACTGATAGTTCTTTTTTTTTTAATTTCCATGTGGAATATAGGTTTGTTGGTTAAGCAAGTAATTTTCGAACAGTTAACTTACCTTTATCACATTGTTTAGGATATCTGATATAAGAGACAGATTTGGTAACTAAGGACCATACTGTTATTCTAATCTATAAGACAGGGTAGAACAACATTTGTAGAAATCATTTTCAGCAAACAATTATTTAAAGCTTAATTATGTAGAATGATAGTAATCCATTTCTTTCATAATCAAATTTTCCTCCTCCCAATTGAGCTAACAAAAGCATGCAATACAATACAATGTTCCATCTGCACATCATTACTTAGACCACAAAAATCTTTTTCACTGAGCCATAAAATGACAGAGGAACTAAACATGTTCTTCACCCTAGGGGATGTAAAACCTTATAGACAACAATCTAACTTATTATTGACAAGTCATCTAAATGTTATTGTTTAGTTTTTATGCAAATCATTCAATCAAAGCAACTAAAATTGATAAAAAAATAAAAATTCACTGATTAGATAATAAAGCAAGTATGAAATGTACTAATAGACTAAAGGCTAGATTTTTGTTTTCATTTTTTAACAATTGATCTTTCACATTTGAGAACCTTACATCATCTTTAAATGGTGTCTATTTTTAGTAACCATGCTGTCAGCTAATTTGCATACAGGTGTTGTCATCGACATTTAGACAGGATGGAAATCAAATAAAAAGAAATTTATTTTTGAATATTATAAATTTAAGTTAAATTTGGGTTGTGTCTTATATAGTAATGGATATGGATTAAATACAACTTCTTTAAGAGGGTTGACCCAGTTGTAAGTAAAGTCAATAAATCAGATTTTATCATGTAAATAATAAAGTATAAATTGATCTATGGACATGACATGCATTTTAACTTGTCAAATGGGTGAATAAATGAAAATGAATGAATGAATGAATTTTGTATCTTGTAAAGAATATTGAGTTTCTTAATTGCAAATTCAACAAATTTTGCAATTGGTACAGAAACTGATCAACAAAGTTCGTTTTAGTACTAAAGAATTAAACTTTGGAGCATTTAAACCAAATTAATATTAAGGTGTCAAAACATTTCCTGTAAATTGTAAACTGAAAGTTTAAATAAATAGAGTGATCTAGTCTAACATCCTGTTTTCAAATCTCTTTCTATTTCATTCAAACAATATTTATGACTTTGAAATTCCCAGTAAAAAAGTTAGGTTCACAAATTAGACTAAGTTGAAAAGTTAAGCTAAAAAAACTAACAGCAACAGCATATCATTGGCAACTTCCAAATCTAACAGTGGTATCACAACTTCTATAAGGTAAGAATGCTCTGCCTCAATTACTATAAAGACAACTTCTCAAAGGGAATTCTTTGCAATCATCTGACCCAAATTTTTTGTATCAGGTCAAGTAAGTTGATCAAACCAATTGGTAAGCATTACATTTTAAATTTTCAAAATGGGCAATGAATAGTTAGTTTAAATGGCTAAGTCTGTGAAGAAGTCGCTTGGAAATGTGTCAGTTTTACAATGTCCTTAGTCCAAAATATAAAAGTCTTTTGTAGGATATTATGAAATTTCATTTCGCTCTAGATTTAACTTACATTAAAATCTGATGTAGTTAGAATATGTCTACCATCAGGACTCCAAACAGCATTTACTAATCCTGCTGGCCCTTCATTTATCTTACACACCCATTCTGGTTGTTCCATAGACCATACCTAAAGGAAGATTGAGTTATCCAAATTGAATTATGGACTCCAGAATGATCATAAAAGACATAGATCACATACATCTGATATCAAAATTATCAAGCAAGAGATTAGACACAGACTATAAATATTAATGCTTAAGATGTCTTTGCTGACACAATATCTGCATGTAAATACTTAAAGGTATTAATTCTTTACCTGTACTATAGATCTTTTAAACATGGCACAGAGAATAAACCCTGAATCACATGACCACTGAAAATATAATATAAGCATATAAAGGTATAATGGCTTGGTAGATTAACTAATTTGACAATTTTTTACTAAGACAAATATATTTTAATTTCATTTTATGATGTAAGATTCAGTGATATATAAAATACCAGTAATCTTTTAAAAAAATCTTATTAGGAATCAAAAATATATTGGCATAAATTTTTTTTAGTATGGTACAGGTTAAAGATTCAGAACTAACCTCAATATATTTTATGGTATCAACACAAGAAAAGACATTTTCTATTTGTAATGTATCTGTATTTCTGATGACAAGTCTGTAATCAACTGCTGATGCCTGCAAAATAGAATTTTATGACATTTTATGGAAACTGTTTTTACAACAATCATTTTATAGGCTATGGGTCAGCTCTAGTAATAACATGTCAGATTGATGCCCAATCTTTGATTGTAAATTTCCACAACAAGTTGTGTCAATAAATTAGGGGCATGCATATCAGCTTCATAAAGGCAAGATGAGAAAATTTCTTTCTTCCAATGTCCAACTATGTATGAAATCAATGTTTTTTTTCAATTACCAGTAGATCAGAAGATGAATATTATTTTGTTTATTTTAGTTTTATGAAATTTTAAAGTCCATGACTTTTTCATTTTCCTTTTATCTTCAACACTTCATTACAACTGTTTAAAAACTCCTTTCATTTCATTTCATTACAACTGTTATACTAAGTGAAGAAACATATCATAGAACCAATAATCAAATTCATTAGGTTCTTTAGAACTAAACAAGGAGGGTATTAAATTGTTTATTACACTATAATCAACACCTAATTGTGTGGGGTGTATAATTATTTACCTAATTACAGATAAAATGTGTAATATAAACACCTCTTTACACTATTAGGTATTTTTAAAAGCACCCCACACAGTTTCATTGTACTTAGATTGATGTCTGATGGACAAATTTTTAATGAAATTGTTGACTTCCATTTGAAATGATTCAGAGTGTAGAGTTTGAGAATGGAGAGAAAAAAAGGCAATTTCAAAAATTAAAGGCCAATCAAGTCCTGCTTCTGATTCATAAATTGACATAATGTGCATCAATCATCACTGTCATTGTGTATCGTAACCATTTACTGTCAAAAGCTGTTATGAAAAATATCAGTATCAGCACCATTCTAAGCACCATGATAAGACATTACGAGTTGTCGCAGTTTACTCACTCAGTCCTACTTTCAGTTTTAAATTCTAAATCCAATCAATGAATTTCACTTACCAGGTACTTTCCATCAGGGGAAAAACGACAGAGTTGTCCAGATTGGTGAAATAACTCAGAAAAATTCATGTCTAACAAATTCAAGTACGATTTTCAACTGGCAGTCAGTATTTTAGAGAAAAATTTCATTTTGACAAGAATCAACTTGCGAAGTCGTCCATTTTGAAAACAGCGCCAATGTTGTTTTTCTGCGTGATTGAATTTGTGCCACTTAAAACTTTTAATTGATTAAAAGAATTAGATACACAATTATAATTGAATTAGATGTTAATTAGCTGGTAACGAGGCCGATAACTTTTAAGTGGCATTAATTTTGACAGGTCATGGGAGGTCACCAAGATAAATTGACCAAGCGCAACAACTCCCGCCAAAAACGGTGGAGCGCTTGTTTACATTTGTAATTAGGTGAAATAGTTCGAGGTTGTCAGAGGTAATTTATGGAGTTATAGCTTATCTGAAAAGAGGAGAGAAAAATACAGCTCTATTTTGATACATATTAAGTTCTTCGGTGTAAATTTTGTAAAGGATTACCACTAAAAGTGTTTTGTTATTATTATTATCGCGGAGGAATATGCCTTGAATGTCATAGCATGCGATGATCAAAACACGTGCTGCTATCAGAATGGAGTAGGCTGAAATTTAGCTTTAGTGTAATCTTATGGTAAGAATTTGTAATTTAAACGCTACGATATTCTTTATATTAATGAATTTAAGTCTGTGAGTGATGTTTTATTGGATATTCTTTGACTTCTGTCGTAAAGCCGCCTTGATGTAAATTTGGAGATATCTCGTGAACTGTCTGTCAGTGTCAGTGAATCGACACTGTCAAAAAAACCCAAGGAGTTTTGCTGACTCGACGATGTCAATGAGTGTTCGGTTTATTTGATTAGTTATAAATTGCAACCATACTTTCTACAATTTGTCATAGCTTTACACTATAATCTATAAGATGTAAGATATTCAACAGTATGCCGGTCTATTTTGAATAAAAAATAAACAAATGCGTTTGTTTACATTTTTCTTACCTCACCTCAAGCTCTTCTTCCTGACTCTGATATGTCTAAAATAGGATGATGATAACGCCATAAATTATCCTTTCTGTCAGTGTCATAGGTACCACACCCACTAGTACCAGTTACTGTAAGGCTAGGCCTAGAGGCATTAAACTTGGAAAATTATCGCATCAGTCCCATCTTCTCCCATTTTTGTCTTTTGACTGTCAATTTTTTTTAACAAATAGCCTACTTAATTTTCATTTATTTTAGGCCTAACATGGCTTTTCCAATTGGTCTTGCTTACCATAGTGCCTTAGCTTAAAATGATTTGAAATTTATCTTTTTAATTTTCTGATTTTTCTAGGTATGGTAAATTTCACCGTGCCATGTCCTCATCACAGAATTCCCTGTCGGGAAATACCAACTCTCAACCCCCAATGTCTCAGGATACTTTTGATTTTCTATGGAAAACACTGGGGGATGCTACCAACCATGGGTAAGTCTTGATTCTGAATATACATTTTTGTCAGACTTAAAGGGATAATAAATAGGTTTTCTAAATCAAATTGTGTTTAGGGACTGGGAATACTGATGGCATCAATTTGCATCTTTCCAAGTTTCATTAAACACTTATTAGTTTAGTGTAGACCTCTTTACAATCCCTTTTTATACACACACATTATAATGTGGTCGTATCTTGTCGTTGTCCCTGTCCAACGGTCTGTCCGTCAGGGATTTGATCCTTTGTATCATTTCAACCCAGTTCAGTGTGTAACAAGTGCATGGAAAACATCTTTTCATTGAGATATTACTGTAGATCTTGGACATTGACTCAATCGAATTAGAGTAGGGTGAGCTGTTCGTTTTTACTGCTGTAAAAGATGAATAAAACCATTTCTTTCATGAAAATATTAATGAAATTTGTGATAAAAAATAAAGCTTTACTCTCATGCATTCGGGTAGATGCAAGGGAGATAATTCTACAGTAGACAGCTTGCTATTTCATTGATTAAACTTTACTTATTTTCTTTAAGCTACTGTACTCTTTAGCATACATCTTTTTAAAAAGTATTAGTGGATATTGGTTTGATGATGAATGATAGTTTATGAATGATAACAAAGCATAAGCTTAATTTGATTTTGGATTAGAACTTTCACAAAATCAGATAATCTTAAAGGACAATAATAAAGAAATTTCATGTAAATAAAAATGATATTGTAGTTCTTCAAAAACAAATGAAAGTATGGATGAATAAAAGGAAAATGATGTCCTACGGGCAAAAAATGTTATTTTGAAATTTATGTTTTTGGAAATTATCTGTGATAAGATATTGTTTGTAAGCAAGGAAAATTAAAAACAGGAAAACCAAATAATGGCTCAGTTTATAAGAGATTATCATCGAAACAACCTTTATTTTTCAGAGATTTCACACAGATTATGACTCGTGATGTGGATTACCATTATGGCAGTAACGATGATGAAGGGACATCACTCCAAATGGACCATTTCAGTATTAATCGCAACCCCGAACATCCCATTACAGCTGACATGATGGTAAGTCATGAATTTTTGTTTGATTCAAGGTACTATTTTTCACTTTATCTTCTGGTAAATAAAAAATAACCGTAAGGGATTGTATAGATTCCAATTTTCAATCAGACGTCTGTGGTTTCTGTAATTATACTAACTTTATTAATCGCATAATATGCTGGATCACATAAGGCCCTTGTGATTTGTGACATAAAACTTTTCTGGAGAAACACTGGTCATTTGTTTTTTTTGTGATCTACCTATAAAGAAGAATCAAGACTTGTGAACCCATGAACTCTGCATCAGTTTCTGCCGAGCTGATAATGGTCATTGGTTTCATCCTCTATAAGTTACATTAGTCTCATCTACCATTGAAATTGTACTTGTACTTTGTGAACCTCTAATCTCTAAATACCTTTATAAATTATAAAATGAACTAAGGTTTGCAATCTTAATTGATCTTAATTCTATCTATAGCTAATCATCAGTTGTAATAATCATTCATCCCATAAGTTCTTTAGTATTGATCAGTTTCTTTCACCATCCCAGATAGATCTGATGTTGACAATATTTCTAGGTTATAATGGTTTTTTTATGGGTAATCTACTCTGCAGAAGTAAAAACAATTTTTCAGAATTTTATTCATCTAATTTTTTCAAAGTACGTTAATTTTTTCTGAGCTAAAATTAAAAATATTCTGTTAGCCAAAAAAAAAAAATAACTGGAGGAAATGTGTATTTTTATACTTGGATTATTTGAAAAACTGGGATATTATTGAAATTCCGATTCCTACGACTTTATTTGACTTCTTTATAATATGTTAATTTTGCTCCCAGCAAACAGTTTACGGCCTTTCCCAACAGAGTTTTGATCTCTGTACAAGCTTTTTAATTGCATATATGACAGGATGACTTAAAGAAAAAGGATTTCTTATTTATATGGTAGTAACATGGTTTGTTCAAAATTTGTTTTGTTCAAATTAGTTGGTACAGAAAATTGTAATTTGTTTTGCTGTCTAATGGCTTTGTGGGTTACCCGTACTTTTGAAGTTTGAATTTAAATGTGAAATGCTTTTTATTCCATGATTTCTCAATAAAAATTTGTCTTGGGTCATCAGACGTGTTGTTAATGTTGACATAATCTCTAGACCAGTTTTCTAAGTTAAATATTTTATCAATTGACCCCTTGGGGAGCCATGTTACTTTTCATTTCATTGATAAGAATACAGATTATTTTCTTACAATAGAATAGATCCAACATATTGTTTTCATAAACACTTTTTTAGTCAATTTTCTAGTAGAGAATATTGAAAGTGAGTTTGAGAGTGTGTCATACTTTGACCTGATCTATATTTGAGTGGTTAATACTACTTCAAAGAAAATTTATTTTGTCATAGTTCATTTCTTTGTGATAAATAATTAATAACAGTTGATTGATATGGGAATATAGCCAGTAGAATATAAAATAACTTCCTTATAAAATATTAGTTTGACCCCTAGGGTCTACCAGATCATTATGCCTATAATCTTTACATTGTCAATAGATAGTCTCAATAAGCCACAGAGCCATTGATCAAGTGATCTCTTACAATAAAAGTAGCGTGGTTTGTCACCATGGAGACAAAATTGATTACCTGTAGCTCTACCATTGACTCAACATATCCCATAATCCATTGTAATCTGGTATAGTGTGATATACTATAGTAGTGTATATCCATATATGGGACATTATCATAATAAATATACTTATATTAATAAACATTAGGTCAAAGGTAGATATCAGCCTGCCTACACTTGATGACAAGACTGTACATGTTTCAATTGATTTGCCGCGAGTTTCATGATTGGACACGACATAACTTCAGTTGTGCCAGAAAATTTCTTGATTAATTTCTTGTAAAATGGTTGAGGATGAAACTTAAAATTCTCAGAGTTGTAGAAAATTGTTGATAATTTTTCTTGTGTTGTTATCAAATTCCGTCCAAAATGATTAAAGTGGAAAGAACTGGCTTTACGACCTATAGGGTAAGTCAATATTCATGTGTCTGCTTGTTATGATGGTTGTCAAGGAATTTCATCCCAAACAACATGTCTGACAGAGTCTTCAAAGTTTTAAATTTTGATACATTGGATAGTTTTATTTTAATAATAAAATTTAAGAGCAAAATTTTACCTTTTTTTCTGTAAAACGTTTGAAAAAACTTTGATAGAATCTTATATATAAAGAAATGACACCAATATTGGTTGTAGTATGTAATACAATGAATTATTCCATCTTGAATAATCAAAGAGTCCTTCTAATTAAAATATCCAGATTCCTGAAATGAATAATAAATGTACAAGACTTATTCACATTTTCATCAAGATCTCTCTCTGGAAGTTCATTTATCACATTATACTCATCAAAGTCAATTGTGTTTGAATTTCGGTCTCTGGTTTTGAAAGTATGAAATATATTCCTAAGGTATTATTTTGCATGCTTTCTTCACCTTATCTGTATTACTTATAGTAAGTTTAGGAGTGATTATAAAAATTTCATTGAATTAGCGCCAACTATGCTTTGTACAATATTTGTCAATGTGCCAAATAAATCAAATTTATTATTTTAGAATTTTACTAGTACCGGTAATTTGACTGTGCAGTAATTTGTGTTGGATTTCATACATTAAAACCATGAAATATATTATTCATGTAATATTCTTTCTGAATCTAACTGTTTACAGACAATTACATTAAAAGGTTGGATGAAATTTTGGAAAAATAAGTAAAAGTTTCATACATTAGGTAAATGTGACAGTTCTATATATAGAGCTTACGACAGCTTTATAAATGTTAAAATTTACTTAGTGTTTTCAATCATTTCAAGGTCATTAAGTGCTGTAAAGATAAGGCCCGGCTCAACTTTAAAATTTACTTTCAGCTTAATCCAGTTGTAAGCTTACTATTTTCAATGACTCAATGCTTAATGAGTTTCAAAATTCAGTATAAAAAAAAACTGACAATAACCGCCAAATTCAATAGCCCCACAGTAATCAAATATTCTACTGAAATATCATTCTTTATGCAAGGGATTAAAGTTTCCTGTGAATCAAAATATATTCTGACAATTTTTGAGTTCTGATCATCCAGTATTAGTATATAGATATTGATGAAATCCACTAATTGTAATTAAACTAATTAGAAATTGTAATTAAATCAGATGATGATGATGATGTGTTGAGTTAATTAACTGATTACATGGTAATGAATTATGTTGTTATTTGAACACCTGGGTCCCTTTGAAAATCTTAAGAGGGTGGGTGGGAGAGAATAATGATGTTTTATGAACAGTAATTAGTACCTTAGCTTAAATATACAGGACTATAGGACTTTCGTGCTGGTCATGACACAATCCAACTAACTGACTCTCAAAACCATTCCAATAACAGGAAAAAATTGAAAAGAGATCAAATCTTGGATTTTACTTCCTTCATTCAAATTTTTTATGGAAGCAAATTGATCGTCTCATCAGTGTGTCTGCTACACAGCCAATATATAACAGTTGATAGTTCTATGACAAGATTTAGACTGAACTAATAGACTGATACATTCTTCTTGGATGACTCTAGGAACTGGAATTGTGAAATCCTGCAAATGAATCACATATTAGTACAACTAAACTATTCCATAAGTTACCTGAAATGTGTCATTTCTGATTAATGGCATTTTCATTATTAATAAATCAATATTCCTGATAATGGAACCAGTTTACATCAGGCTTGACAATTCCATTGAATCCTAGAATGCTCAATATAGTATCAGTACTGATAATAAGCTTTATCTTAAAAACATTTCATTCTTTCACTGAAAGAGCATCTGCAAATCATACCTGATAAAACGGTGATAAGATTCTTTCCAGCTTGACAATTCCATTGTATTGTGGGATAATCAATAATATACAATGATAGTACTGACAATAAGCTTTTAATACTTAAAAAGAAAAACTTTTGATTTTTTCAGACTTAACAATTCCAACTTAATCTAACTCATCAAGTAAACGGTATTGGAGTCAACATGAATGATTTTGTCTTAAAAAGATTTCAAAATTAATTGGAAAATTGCTGTCTACTTATTCTTCCGTAAAAATTGTCTTAAAGCTTATTCTAACATTGTGAATAATGTATAAAATTTAGAGATAATGGATGACAAATCTCAAAACAGTATGAGTTCCTGCTGTTAATGAAATAACGAAATTCTGTCATTCCACATCAGCCATGATTTTTTCAGATATTGGTGAAAATATACAAAACAATGAAATACGCTTACAGTTTATAGAAAAAACATGTGGGATCATTAAAATATATTGCTACTATGATAATTCATAATTTGAAAAGCAAATGTTCTTTTGCGATTTATGTGTGGTTTTTCGTTGGATTTTAGGCAATAATATTAGCAGTTCTTCATTAGTTTCCAATCCACTTTAAGCTTTATTGACAGTTATCTAACAAGTAACATTATATTTGTCACAGTTCTCAAGCTGGGCTTTATACTTTACTTGTTTAGAGTGTGGCATAATCACCTAATCTGATTATACTGTAATAGCTTGATAGTTATCCCCCTTGACAGTTTGATCGTGCAGACAACTTGAAAGTTGTTTGGCTAATCTTAATTTGTTGATAAGTAGATTGTATAATGTGCCGGTAAATTAACGCGGGGACAGGAGGCAGGGATTGATTTACGCATAAATTATCACCCAATTAGAGAGCATTGTTTGAAGACTTCAGCTTCTCACCTTTTAGAGAATTAACTTTAAGACTAAGTGTGGCGACTTAAACATCATAGAGAACTCTTAATTTTGTGAGGAAACTACTAAATAGGTGCTTAATTTAGGTGTGAAAAGTGGATGAGGCTTTGTTATAAAGTGTCAGGGAGGAAACTGGGCCAAGAAAATCTGCTCGTTTATTTCTTATTTGACATAACCTGAAGAATTGTGCTTGAAAAATTTGAGTTTGGAACAATTATTAACCTCTTGGTTTTGATATTTGATATATCAGTATTTTATCTGATTTTTTACAAGAAATTGGGCAGGGCACTGTTAATTGTGGTTGTTGTACGATGGACATTATGTTAATTAAATTGCAAAACCAAGTATTTTGTTTGCTTTGAATCAAGGACTGAAGAGTAGCAATAAAGAGCAATATTTGAACTAGCAAATAGATGTTACATTGATATTTATTGGAAAATTAAATTGATGGCTTTGACCTTATGTGATATCGTGTATTCTTTATTGGCAAATTTCTAACTATCTAGAGTGAGGAAGTTCATCGAAACTAGGGTTGGACCATAGTAAGGTTTCTTCTTAGCAGGAAAAATTGATATAAAATCATTTTATTGGAATATCACTAATGATAGAAGTATACATTTACTTAACATGTATATATAGAATTGACGACAAAATGTTTCCATGGACAAATAAATGGTATTTGCAGACTATAAATGTTTCATAAAAAATTTTAATTTGGATCCAAAGTGATTTTAGAGACAGAAAACAAGTGACATATTGGTGTGAAAGATATGGGATCAAGTTACCTGTAATTTTTGGTTGACATGTCCAGACCATATGGTTGATGATTATTGTAGAAATAATATTAGTCTGAATTATTGATTATCTATTAGAAAAGATTTCATGGCAGTCATCTGAACAGTTCCACATGGAAGGATAAGATAATTCAATTCTTAACAAGTTGTGTTGGAATTCATTTAGTTCTTGAATTTTATTGAATGCATGACTTTGTTTAACTTGGATTGGATATGTTTTAAGGACAGAATAAGCTAGAAAATGTTCACCTTTATTGATGATCAGTTTGTAGAAATTGTGGTATGTTCATTCTGATATGATATCAATTCATTGTTAAATTTGTCTATAGTACCGTTTCACACTGAATTCAAAAATTAGATTTTACCAAAAATATTTTAGAAGCACAACTAAGCAATATTTAGGTGTACATAGTAAAATTTGAAAAAGACTTAAACATTTAAGATCTATCAATGATAGAAAACAGTTCATATGTTCATATTGTATTTATGTTTTGAATATTATATTATATTTTTTAGTTGAATCCAATACTGGGTCAGGCAAGTAGTGGTATGTCCCCTGATTCTCAGACTAATATCATCGGCAGTACAGCTTCCAGTCCATACACAGATGTAAGTATCAACGTTTTTTTTTTTTTTATACCTTTATCACATTTTTCCTAAATTGCTAATATTGTTCATTATCAGTGAAAAAATTTGAAAAGTGTATATGATTGAAGGTTAAATATTTCATACTGGTGATTTTTATTGGACTGCGGAATATTCTTTCCTTATTGGCTATCTACAGTTTGACGTAGGTTCAGGTTGACTAGACACCAACTCTAAGTCTGTTGGTAATTATACCTGATCTATAATTAATAGTTTGACAATCACAATAACTGTCAGAACTAAAACGAAAGTAAAAACCTAAAAATCAATTTTAGGTCAAAAAATCGATCAGTTATATTTGTTTCTTGTTTTTTGATGAATTTTGAGTCCGAAGATCAATATGTGGTATTGTTTAGGCTATATACGGAACGTTAATGGACTTTGTTAAGAAACGGTCAATTACAGCACTTCCTTTTTTGTCGAACACCTTTATTGATCAGCTGATATTATCAATGGAACATTGACAGAGTGCTAGAGGCTAGCAAACATTGTTACCAATCAACTAGAAAAACCATTGTCATCCTTGTACAAAAGAATTGCGTGACAATAGTAATTGGCTACATAATATTGGTCATGTTTGATTTGCCACTGGCATTAGGTTTTATTTCATGTATTTTATTTGTCACGTAGAATGAAACATTGGGGTATTAAAAAAAAAAAAAAGAATTTGACCAAATTTTGTTTCCTGGCTCTGTGACTGAGAAACACACCTCAAAATGCTAAAACTATGTTAATATTTAATGGTTTCTGTGGGTAGCATTGAAGAAGGTGTTGCACAAGGATTAGTTTTACTATGTAGAATCCTGGCAAGAATTCCACAGTGCACATTGCATGGTGTTTCCCCGCGTCAAAACCTGATAAGGAAAGTAGAATGTAATTCTCATTAAATTTCAACTTAATGTTGCTCAAAAGGCAGGGGATAATTTCAATGTGTCCAAATCAAGACAATAATGGTGTGTTGGTTGGTAGATGACAAGATAATGATGTCTTCCAGCTTTGAACTGATACCACAGACTATATTATGATTAATCTGAGTTTTATAGCTGATTGTCTATTGTCACCTTGACAGAAATTAATCATATTATATATAGATTAACTATAAATTGAGATTAACTTTATCATTAACTAGCTAATTGATTCTATAACGTCTGGATTTTATAGTTCCGCATTTACTTGATTAAATGAAAAATAATTGGAGAATAGTTTAAGAATGTTTGTAACAAAAAATTTAACATTATTATGTTGTACAGTTTGCGACACTCCTAAGAAAGCTAGCTAGCATATGTTTTCTGGAATTGGCTTTCAACATATCATTGAAAGTAGGGCCTACCAGTATATCTTTTACTAAGGTAGTCAGCAGTTTTGGTACTTATCTGATTAACTGCAAAGAACCTTTTTCTTATGACTAATACTTCAATATAAGACTTAAATTTCACATTTTATTTGTGTCTATGGAGCCTCAATTGAGTTTTACTAGCAATATAGACATATAAATTGATTTGATTTTATTGGATATTTTCAGTCAATCACCTCGCCTCCACCTTATTCACCAACCAGTAATAATAACATCACATCACCAGTACCTACAGTTCCATCCAAGTAAGTTGACTAACTTTCTCATGGCATCAGACATAGCTTTACAGGGCAACAATAAACATGATGAAAGTTTTAATGCAATTTTTCCAGGTGTTTCTCCTGTTCTCTTTTGGCAGATGATTGTATATATACTCTTCTTAAATTGGTAAATGCAGCTTATTAGTCAAATGTGCAACTTTAACCTTAATAATTATTTAATCAAAGATTATGTTTATTCTTCCCATTTTGTCTGTTTTGTGGGGAAAAAAGATATGTATTTTACCGATAATGTTATGGCCCAGTAATATTTTGAAATAATGATATGTCTGGCCCTTATCACATGATAAGATTTAAGTGGGTTGGGTATATATTATAGTTATCTCTGTATAAGATTTAACATTATTATTTGTCTATATAAGATTAGGAGGGACCTTAAATACACCATGAATATCTGATAACAATATTTATTGAATGGTTTCAATTTGTAGAAAGGGGACGTAACTTGTATTTCAATGCATAACAGCAACATGTATACATATTGGAATGCAATAATTTTTAATAGGTTTTAAAGAGATAAATAGAGCTTTTCAAAAAAAATTTATGTGTATCGTAGAAACTGATATTTGGCCCATTGCAATAATTCAAAGGTTTGAAGTAGATTTCAGCTGACATGAAAGTTATCTAGACAAGGTCTTGGTAGTTTTCCACACTACTACTGATACGAAGAGATTTTGAAAATTTGAAATTTTATTTGTGTATTTTTCAGCACAAACTATGCAGGGGAGTACGGTTTTGAGATTAGTTTTACTCAACCATCCAAGGAAACTAAATCAACCACATGGACAGTAAGTTTGAGATGAGTTTTTAGAAAAATTCCAGTGCAGACACTTTAAAAGTATTTTTCAAGGCACTCTGGATGGTTGGTCTATGGTAGTTTAGTGATGGTCGACAGGCAGTAATAATGCTTATGAAAATTTATGATAATACTTTTAAAACAAGTTCGTGAAGAGTTCACACTTTTGTTTTTGAGCAGTATCGGTGACAAAATGAAACTGCAGTTTATTCAAATATGGTACGTTAAACAGATTGTTAGAACATGATAACTGACCAATTTCTTACCCTATGCTAGTTGAAAGCCGTTAGTTACAAGACATCAAATAGTTTCTGTTTTTTTTTTCCAGTATTCTGAAATGTTAAAGAAATTATATGTTCGTATGGCTACAACATGTCCTGTTCGCTTCAAAACCTGTCATACACCTCCACAGGGCTGTGTTATTAAAGCTATGCCAATATTTATGAAACCTGAACATGTTCAAGAAATCGTCAAACGGTGCCCTAATCATGCCACTTCAAAGGAACATAATGAACATCATCCAGCACCAACTCATCTTGTACGCTGTGAACATAAAATGGCCAAGTATGCTGAAGATCCATATACCAATAGACAGTCAGTTATCATTCCTCATGAAACGCCTCAAGCTGGCTCTGAATGGGTCACTAATTTATTTCAATTTATGTGCCTTGGATCATGTGTTGGTGGTCCAAATCGTCGTCCAATCCAAATTGTGTTCAGTTTAGAAAAAGACAATCAGGTGCTAGGGAGAAGAGCTGTAGAAGTAAGAATCTGTGCTTGTCCTGGTCGAGATAGAAAGGCTGATGAGAAGGCTTCTATGCCTGTTAAACCAGTAAGCAAAAAAAGTAAGACAAGTTTATTAAAGAAACTAGATGCCTATAAGTTATACAGCTGACTGTTTGCTTAATACAAATTTCACTCTAAAAGGGTTTAAGGCCCTTGTTATTCAATAGATATAAAAGGTGTAAGACATATTCATGAAGATGTTCTTGATGTACTTGTCTGTACATATAACACAAACAATACTCAATAAATATATATATATTCAAATTTGCTTCTTTTCTGTACATATTGAACACAACTTCTCCAATTGATATTTATATTCAATCTTGCTAAATTACAGTGTCACAGAACAAAATAACATTTGGTGCTGAAATAACTAGTTTTGGTCCAGCTGTGAAGAAAAGAAAGATAGGAGATGAAGAGGTTTACACACTAATAGTAAGTAGTGCTCTAGTATACTAATTCAAATTATATAATGATGGACATTAGTATTTATGTCATACAAGAACAAAGTATTTTCAAGGTTTAAAAAAGTGCTCAAAAAATCAATAGTAGAGCCATCAAAAATATCAAAACAACTTTAAACTTGTTGTTAATTAGAGTATATAGTAAATATATGCTGTATATAGTAAAATAACCAATAAACCAAAATAATCTTGATAATTATATTAATATATCAGAGGCTCAATATACATTTCTTTACTAAAATCAATAATTATTGGTTTTTCAATGATTGAATATTAAAAATGATCGAATGATGTTTCAGAAGGAGCTGTAATATTTCTATATATCATACATATATGATGTAGAAACTATCTTGTATTGTGTAAGTCAAATTTCACATGATTTAAACTATTATTTTTTGTAGGTAAGAGGTCGTGAAAATTACGAAATTTTATGTAAGCTTCGTGATTCACTAGAGTTATCAGCAATGGCTCCCCAGACGCAGGTAGATGCTTTGAAACAGAATCAAGTTGACATCCACCGACAGTACGTATATCTTTTTATTTACACCTATAGATTTGAAAGTCTTGTGGCTTTTTTGAATGCTGAGTTGTGTGTCCAAATATCTGCTTGTCAAATTCCCAAAAGATTAAATGGAAGGGAAGGTTAAGGTCAGAGAATATTTTGAAATAAGGATATTTATAGTCTTTAAAAGCTATTGTTATTTATTGAGTGATTTTGTTTGTTTGTTTGCTGGTGGTTGCAGAGTTTATTTCGGTCTAGATTGTCTTCGTGCTTTGCTTTTAACTGCTTGGGCTAACTTTTCTTAAGGATCATTTTTCAGGGCTTCATATGGAATCCGAAATGTCATGAAATATTATTTTGTAAATTATGAAAACTAATCACTGTAAAACATGTGAATAAAAGCGAAAGAAAAACGATACACTCAAGCAGCCACCTGCAAATCAGTAAAAATAATCGGCAAATAATAAAAAATATAAAAATTGACTATTTGCAGATGGCAGGCTTTGAGTCAAGAATCCACCCAAAAGACAAAATTGATGAAAAAGAAAAAACTTGTTAGACCAGGAGGCAAATATATAAAGATTCACAGATGAAAAATTAGTTTATAGATATATTTTAATTTATTTGAGGCTGCCATATTGAATTAATATTCTCTCCTTGCGGATGAAGAAAAAAATATTTTTAGAAAATCATATTTTGGTCAAAATATTTTCTTTGTGTTATTGTATGATGCAATGAATTTATTGAACAAATTCTTAAAACATCTTTTCATTTCATGACATTTCTTTATTTTGTGTTGTTTTGTTTTTGATATTGTCTAAAGAAAAAAGGGAGGGGGGGGGGGGGAGGTGGGTATGTATAATGGATTTATTTTAGGTTGTCACCTTACCAGAAGTATAAAAGGGTAAAACTTTTCTATTGCTTTACTAAATCATTCCAGTTAAGAAATGTTGTTAAGACAAATTGCTTATTGATTGTTATTTTTAATGTGTTCATATTTTGACTTTGCAGATCAAATTTTTAAGATTGTATTGTTTGTTGGCTATAGTATTTTATTATTCAGTGCAAAATTCTTCCCCTTGAAGTTGATGAAAATAAGGGCTTAGGAAAATATTTTAGTTTTGTCATATATCGATAAGAATTCTCTTTTGCCAGTTTGGTATTCCGTCCAATATATATTTTTTAAGAGGAGAAAATTAGCCTTATGTTCAATCAGTTAGTTTAAAATTGTCTTGTTCATGATGGACAATCAAAAAACAATTTATATTGCATGCTGATATCATAGCTATCTGAAGCTGCCACATGGCAATTATTATTGGAAGCTCAATGAGATTTTAGAATTGTGTATTCGTTACTGTTCAAAAGCAAAATTTAGTGGTAAAAAATTTTAATAATAGGCAAACAGGCTAAATATTGTCATTGAATTTGTTTCCTCATGAACTCAAATGTTGGCTATTTATGTTATAATTAGATGTATATATATTACTTTTATTTATTGTACATTTTGTGTTCGAAAATGGCAGGTCCAAACATCATTTCTTTTTTTATAGTTGGCATAAATCGAATAAATGGATACAATGGTTCATTTTTAAGATTTTCCTTTTACTTTGATATAAAGTTAAATTAGTTTCTGGAGGTAGTTTTTTCTAGCATGATAACGACTAATTTTAAGAGTTTCATCAGGATATTTGGTTTGGAAATGGAGAGTAGTTAATTTAAATCGTTTCACAGTTTTTTGCCCAAATTTTTCGATAATTTCTCGTGAAATACATCAGAATTAAATTTAGACCATATAGATTTAAAGGCCATTTGAAAGTGCTATATTATTTATATTTATTCAGTATCTGTTGTCAAGTTTATTTATTATAATATTTATTCTCAATAATACAATGTTCATTATTTATCATTATTATTATTAGAAACATTTCAATAAATCATTCATATATCTTAATTTTTGTTATTAAACATAAACACATGTAATTTGGCATCTTGAAAGACTTCCATTGGGCCTAAAAAATATGTTGAATCATATATATATATATATATATATATATATATATAGTACAATATGAAACTGTATATTCTGTTTTAATATTTCATGAAGATCAAAACTATTCTAATTGTTTAATTTTAATAAGTGATAGGGCTGCAACGATCTGATACACTGAACGATACTCGTTTAACGATACGATTTATTGCGATAATTTAATGTTGATAATTTAATGTTGATTAAAAGGGAAAGAAAAAGAAAACTGATAATTAATAACATTTTAACACAAAAAAAAAGTCGGTCTGTGTTTTGTTGTTAGTAACGACGTCATAAATTGCGTATTTGAGAATGGATCATATATATTTTGGTTTTATAAAAACGTATTGAGCTGAAGAGTCTTAATTTCCAAGAGCTCTGTATCGAATGAATGATTTTATGACTATGCAAACACATATTACGTTGGAAAAAGAAAAAGTTTATATCAGATCCCATGCGTTTATCTTCCAATTGGCATATTAATATGTTCTCTTTTCATCGTGTATAACAAATTAATATGTGAAAAAGCAATTTTTTAACATTTGATCATGACACAATTTCTAAAATACGTGAGGATTCTGTGCTATTAGTCATTAAAGGGAAATCATTATATTTATGAGAATCGGGCGGATGTATCGCGATTATTTTCGATAAGAAGGAATGAATCGCGGTCCATCGATTCAACAGTGAATCGTTGCAGCCCTAATAACTGACAAAAGTTGTGACAGCTTTTCAAGCATTCCTCTAAATTAGATACTTTTTGTGGTACTAAAATCATGAATGTTATATACATACACTTGTCAAGATCTTGCCAGGGGAATTTCAAACAAGCAAGATTTGTCTTTTGCCTATATCTGAACCTGCACCCCATGTAGAAACTATGTAAAGATGTTTCTGCACATTAAACTTTGGACCTGTACATGGCAAAGAATCAAACTGAGCCTAGGTAAACCTCATAATAGATTGATAACATGTCAGTTTCTATTAATTTGAATTATTTAGGGTGACCCAAACCAGAATGGTATCTATACCAAGCCAAGAGAGATCTTCAACACCTCAGAACAATGAAAGACAGAGTTCTCTCCCTTTCAATACAACAACAGATCCTAACCAGGTGACCAGTTCTCAATTGAGTCAGGAATTTATGGATGAGGTATTAGGAGAACCTGTATTGGTAAAGGAAGAACCTGCTGGTAGAAATGGTGTGATGGCCATGTCAGATAACTCTATTGCTGGGTATGTATTGAAAAATTAACTATGAAATTTGGGGTATTGTTCACAAATTACTACCTGATCAAACAATGGATTTAGTCTAGCTAAGAGCATCACAGACTGAAAAATTGCAATTGGTCACCATTGGTCACCATTGGTCATGTTCTAGTGGATATGGTCTTAGACTCAATCAATTTGTTGATGGCAGTTTGTCAATATTTTGTGTTAGTGAAACAATTTGTTTTCAAATTTCGCAATTTTGATAATATTTCATGTAAAATAAGAGAAATATTTTATTAACAGATGGTTATCACAGTTGGGTCTAGTGGCTTATATTGATAACTTCCAACAACAAGGATATAATCATATGTTTCAACTAGAAGAATTTACCCTGGATGTAAGTAACACATATTTACATATTCTATATACTATGAATGTTATAATCAACTGTTTCAAATAGCCTTAGATATGTGAACTCTCTGAAATGAATGAACCTCTCTGAGTTATTGAGCCCAGTGGTACCGTGTTACAAGATTAAAATAAGTTAAATAAAATTTCTTTTTTCGAAAGAAGCCTTTTTCGAAAGAGCAAGGCTTCTTTGTTGAAGTAATACTATCAAATTTTATAACCCGGTTTCCACCTAATCCCAGTTGGCAAAGCATATAAAATGAGATAATATAGAAGGTTACTGTTGTGCTTTTACAAAAGTAGGCTAATGCCACTGTCATATACAAATGTCCTTCACATCACATTGAGAGTCATTTCTGGTTTCCTTTACTTTCTTTTTTTTATTATTTTTTTATTGAATTCATTTTTGTTTTAGGATCTTGAGCATATGAAGATTGGCACAAGTCATCGTAATAAAATCTGGAAGGCTCTAATTGAGTTCAGAAATAACCAAATGGCAGATGTAGGTTTACAACGAGACTTCAGCAGCGCCTCCACCGCCAGTATGAATTCACAAGCCAGTATCAGTCAAAACAGCACTTACTGCCCAGGAGGATTTGCTGTCACCAGATACACATTTAAACATACCATCTCCTTTCCCAGAGATGATGAAGAATCACTATCGAAGAAACCAAAAGTTTAAATTTTAGGTCGGTTTTTAACAAAGGTGCAAACTAGTTTGATGTATTTTTTAAGTTGCTATGAAATATAAGTGCATTGTAAATTTTAATGATAAATCATGCTCATGGAAATTCAAATCTCATTCCTAAACATTCCATAAAAAATTGCAATATGAAGATGCATTTGCAATTTTATTTTTTCCTTGCATAATGATATTCATATATAATGAATATATAAGGAATGTGTGTATTGAGCCTAAATCATGAGGCAATTATCATTTTAAAGAGATAATATTTAGAATTTGACTGCCAACTAGAAATGGTATTCTTGTGTTCATTTTTAACTTTTATGTTAAAGAGATGATGGTGTTCAAAGAAAAATAACTTGTGTTATTTTTACATAAAATCTCGTATTTCAAAATAGAAACAGACCAATGGGACAGTTGAAGAAAACAATATCCATAAGATAAGAAAAGATTGTAGGGTAGAAGGCGTTTCAGGGTTGAGTTATTGACCTACAGTAATACATGATGCCACTCTGCTGAGGATTCCCTACATTCAATTTGGCTGAAACATTCCCCATTGCTGTATCTATTTTGAGGAGAATCCTGGTCTTTTAAAGACAATGTCCGTCCAACCTTAGAAATGTTATCATTAGGTGATGTTGTTTGTTCGGTGATCTTGTCATTTTATTTTATCTGCAATATCTCTAGAAACTTGTGTTTGTTCTGAAATGGCTGATAGATAATAGAGGTCAATGGTAGAATTTTGTGAATTAGTATTGGATTTTTTCCCATTTATTTTAATTATGAAATACAGGAGTATAGAGTAAGATTAATTACTATTAAAGTTTGTGAGTTTATTGTAGATATATATAAAATGTTGTATGTAATAATAATTTAGAAAGAGTAATATATTATAGTTATTATAGAGTGAGAAATAATATATTTTACAATTTATGGCTGTTTAACGCTTTGTTCTAGAGCTGAAATTTGATTGACTATTTATATTTTGTACTTACTGTATGATATTCAATGGAAACTTGAAGACTCTTACAGTTATTTACCTATCAAGACTTGTCTAACCAATCCAAAACAACATATTGGCGAAACATAGGTAGCAGATAACTTTTCACACGAGGAAGTATATCAATCAATACTAGGCTAAAATACATTCCAGTTTTGGATCAAAATGGCAAAATTCTTAATATTTCTAATGTGTGTTTTGAGCAAAATAGACTTCTTTTTATTTTAACTGCCAAAACATATAAAAGGGCATAGTTGTTACCATGTTTTCAGTTTAACCCCGGAGCCAATAAGATTTTCTAGTAATAATAACTCTAATATGTAAGAAATAAAATGTGTTCAGAAAGTGTGCATTAACTATGTTATTTAATCATTAAATCACCACTATATATTTGATATCATCTATATGTGTTTTTGGTGCAGTGTGTTTGTATCATTCAATTATTCCATTATCTCATAAAATCATTATCACCTACAGGATAGGATAATTTATCTTTGTGTTAACCCTTTGAACACTAATTGTCAGATAAATTAAAGGGATTGTGAGGAAGTTTTTTATATTTTTTATGTATAACATAAATTCAAATATTCTCTGAGGCTTTGCAATTAAACTAGGCATTAAACTAGGCTACTTTCAAAAGTTAGATTTGTCAAAGAGACATCATAAAACACATAGTTTAAGTGGAATTGCAAGAACTACAGACTTTTGACTGAAAATTGGAATCGTGCAAATTAATTCCCAGATACACATAAAAAAATATACAATCCCTTTAACATCAAGTAGGCAGAATGGCAAGTATCTTAAAGTGTTAATGTTCCACATCTGATCTGGTAAAAGCCAGTGTTAAGAGTATATATTATGTAATTATGTGGTTGAAAGGGTTGAAGATAAATTGTTTTCATTTATTTCCAGTTTTCACTCACTGCCACAACTGCATTGTGTCAAAGATATAGAGAAACACATTTGCTGTAGACATTGCTACAGTTCTATTCCTAATTGACTTGCTCAGTTATTCCTAATTAATATAAATTTCAGTATTTATTCATTGCCTTTAGGTTAAGCTAAATTTATTTTAAGAGACAGTATCCTGCTTTTTGCAATAAATTAGTGGTATTTGTCAATGACAGAACACTTTAAAACAGTGTTCCCCCTTTTAATTTGCATTAATTATGGTCATTTTTCTATTTTTTTGTATCTGTAAATATAATTTGTTATTTTTATAATTTTCTACTTTTGCTTCTTGAGAAAAATGTTGTATTTTATTTTCTTTGTGAATTTATTTTAAAGTGAGGTATAAAAATATCTTAATGTAAGCAAAAGTTATCTTAACTTTATTTGTTAGGTTTTATTTGTGTTGAAATACCAATGGCAAAATATAATTACTATATGATGGCTATAAGAATACAGAAAAGATGTTTTGTCCATTCTAATTTAATCCTTTGACGACTAAGTGTAATTCAAATAAAAAATCATATTTGTTCTGAAATCCACGAGTTATAAAAGCTGAAGCGTAATGTGACTAAACTTGATAATTTAGAGCTCCTCAAATGTTCAAAGGGTTCCAAGTTTGAAGTTTGTTAATTTGGTCTTAAAAGCTTCATATGATGGGACATTTCAGAAGGTGTACTTCAAGATTGCAAACAAAATTCTGTATTTTTAATTAATTTTTTTTTTTTTTTTTTTGAGATTATACTATGTTATAATTATTCTGTCTGTCTAAAATGGCTATTTGTTCTATATATAATGCTTCAATTTGTATTTATTTAATCTATTTATTTAAAAAGTGCTTTTCTATGAAAGTATATTTTGATAAGTTGCTTTGAATTTGTATTTCAATCACAACAATATGACTTAAAGTTGATAATACAAACAAATTCCTATTCCTTAAAAAAAGCTGCTCTTTTAAATGTTTTACTATCTGGATACAACCCTACAATAATTCTTATTGAAGAATATTTGTTTTCATATCATCTGCATATCAGTTTGTTTCATTATAAAAAATCATGTTCATTTTGTTCATGATCAACCTAAAAGTGTGTTCAGAATTATTTCCTACTTTAATACAGTGTGCCATTTCATTACAATTATTAGTACAAAATCTTGTAATAAAATATTCTTTCAAATATAGTTGATTATTAAACTTAACATGGTGTGTGCTCTTGACATTCTGTTCTTCAAAATGATACCATTACAGAGTTGGTGGATCATTTAGTTGTTTAACCAAGACCCCATCCTGCTTTACAGAAGACTCAAAATAGGGGGTTACAATCACAACTGCTTTACAGAAGACTCAAAATAGGAGGCTAATATCATAACTGCTTTACAGAAGACTCAAAATAGGAGGCTAATATCATAACTGCTTTACAGAAGACTCAAAAGGAGGAGTTAACAATCATAACTGCTTTACAAAAGAAGGGGTTACGATCAAAACTGCTTAACCAAAGGAGGGGTTAACAATCATAACTGCTTTACAAAAGAAGAGGTTACGATCAAAACTGCTTAACCAAAGGAGGGGTTAACAATCATAACTGCTTTACAAAAGAAGGGGTTACGATCAAAACTGCTTAACCAAAGGAGGGGTTAACAATCATAACTGCTTTACAAAAGAAGGGGTTACGATCAAAACTGCTTAACCAAAGGAGGGGTTACAATCATAACTGCTCTACAGATGTATATTTATTTTGTTTTGCTGACACAAACAATTATATCATAAAAAAACAAAATCGACATGTATATAAATATAAGCCTTACATATATTATTCCAGATGTAAAAAAAATATAAAAATTTGAAAAATCGTCTTTGGCAAAAACTTATCCCTAAATAAAAATCTGACTGTTGACATGCTAATAATATGCAGTGGAAACACCTTAAACCTCTATTTTCAGTTATACCATTCCAGTTTTCCATGCCTTCTCTTCTGAAGTTCCTGATATTCTAATGAAATAGAGCCCTATATGGTATTTGCTTCTTAACAGTGACATATAAACATCAAAATCAAGTCGAACTAAACAGACTCGAAGAAACCCTTGGAAAAACCCTAGGATACTGCATGTATTTTATAAATCAATTTAGACATGAAATATGGTACAGGAAAAGGAATACAAATAAAAATCACAAGTGTTCTGAAATTCAAATGATCCATTTGGCTGCATTCAGTTATCACAGATAAAGCTAATCTAAGTATAATAAAAGGTAATAAGTACTCCTGTGGCACATGTAAATATATATTGTAGTCAGAGATGCAAGGAAACAAAGTATATAAACTAATGCTCAAAAGAAAGTACCCACCTATATAATTTACAGTACGATTAACAAAAATTAAAATAAAGTGATTAAACCACTGTAATACCTCTCACACACGGTCAACACAAAATTTCACATGAAAAAATGATGAAAAAAGTGAACGAATTACGCAAACGACGCTAAAAATAAAAAGCGATAAATTCTGATTTTGCACGAAATGCACGTGCATGATGAGGGTATAAATCAGTTTACTGGACAAGTTAGCAATAGAGGATAAAGAAAAACACAAAAAGTATGCCACGTTTGAGCCGGATTGAACGAGAAAGAGCTGTGGGAATGGCGCAACATGGAGCAAACATCACCTTGATCGCAAGAACCTTCGGCTGCTCCAGAAAAACTGTAACAAAATTGATGCAGCGTTTGAGGCAAACAGGCAGTACATCAGACAGGCCTAGGGGTGGTCGACCACGTGTCACAACGCCAGGTGAGGACCGCCACATCAGGACAATTCATCTGAGGAATCGTTTCGTTACTGCAACAGCAACGGCATCGGCGGCATTGGGGCATCGTATCAGTCGACACACAGTGTACCGGCGACTGAGGGAACGTGGTATCCGAGCACGTCGCCCCTACCGAGGAGTGCACATGACACTTCAACACCGACGTCGTCGATTGACATGGTCCAGGAGAGTTCGGCGATGGCAGATTCGTGATTGGCAACGTGTGATGTTCACGGACGAGAGTAGGTTTTGTCTTTACAAAAATTATGGTCGTGTTCGTGTTTACAGACGTATAGGTGAGCGTTTAAGACCAAATTGTGTTCAGGAAGTCAGAGCGTTTGGAGGCGGTAGTGTGATGGTGTCGGGAGGGATCTGCGATGATCGGAAAACACCACTTGTGACTATTCGTGGCAACCTTAATGCTCAAAGGTACAGAGACGAGATTTTGCGACCAGTTGTTCTACCATTTATCCGGCAACAACCCCGTGGCATTGTCTTTCAACATGATAATGCAAGGCCACATACAGCAAGATTGACAAATGACTTCTTCAAAACGCCAACGTCGTTGTTTTACCGTGGCCAGCTTGTTCTCCCGAAATGAATCCGATTGAACACCTATGGGATTACCTCGATCGGCAAATCCGAAATCGACCGACGCAACCTGTCACTGCTCAACAGCTGGAACAATGTCTCGTAGAAGAATGGCAAAGAATAACGCCTAACGTCATCCAACGTCTTACATCATCAATGCGTCGACGTGTTGTCGCCTGCATTGCTGCTAATGGGAGTCACACTTGCTATTAATTAATTAATTGATAAATAAATATTGATTATTTTTTAAAAGACAATTTGCCTTCTATATTTCTGTAAAAGTAAACCCGACCCCCCTTGTCTTTGTGTGCCGGTCGAACAGTAAACACGGCTGTCTGTTACTTAAATTTGTGTAAATTTGTTGTAGAAATGAATATTCTATTGGAATTACATAGTTGTTCATTTCTATCTGCTTTTGTTTTCTCCTAACAATTGGTCAAACCTAGTGGGTACTTTCTTTTGAGCATTAGTTTATAAATACTCCTGAATGTAATTTATTGTCCTGACTAAAAATGAAGTTTAAATTCGTGTAAATTGCTTAGTGGTGGAAACAGTGGCCAGATGCAGAACTTTGGAATATTTTTCAAAACTCTTTCAAATTACATAAAATACAGGATTTATGCCCATTATTTTCAAATATTTCCCCTCTGAGTACATGTATTTACAAATATTTCACCTAAGAGGGGCAATATTTGAAAATAGAGGGGATGAATCCTGTATTTTATATAACTTTAAACGTTTTTACAAAGAAAAAAATACATTGTAATTTTAGGCCTGTGGGCCGCCACTAATATTGTAGTGAAGTGGGCATCACAATTTCAACAAACAAATTTTAATAATTAATACTGTAAAAGCACATCTAATTTCAGTGATTGTCTAAACACAGGATGAAAATGCTAAAATCAAGTAATGCTCAAATATGAACTATAGTCCAAAATATTTTTTCTAAAAATCTATGTTATATATATAGATATGTATCTCATACATATCATAGAACTTTTTTATAATATTTTCACAAACATATGTATCATGTAAACAAAATTCACATACCATAATATGTTTCTCAGAACACATTACATTTCAAGCCAAAATATGTATTACAATTAATTATGTATCATGATACATATTTCATTATTCAGTATATCTAATCAAAAATATTTACAAATATATATGTAATATTACAAAGAGTAAATTCATATGATAGCACTATAAATTATTGTTAACATGCATGTTTCATGTATCTTAATATATGTATCACAACACATTTTTAACAAAAGTTGAATAACAAAAAGTATATCATGTATCATAATTTGTCTCATAATACATATCATATACTTGAAAAATATACATACCTCTGTATCAACTATGTATCATAATCAGACTATTCAATTCATTCTCCAAAATATATGACAAATAAAAAGTTATGTATATGTGTCTTAGAATGCATGTATCAAAACACATTTCATTTTTAACACAAGTTGTAGAACAAAAAGTAAGTCATGTCTCTCAGAATACATATTATAGCACTATTCAATGCATCAATATTTACCACTTATTGCCATATTTAAGGTGGGTAATTTTGAACGTGTCAAATACAGCAACACACACGTGTTTCTCCATAAAGTCTTATCACAATAAAAATTTTTATTTAAATTTTTGTCCTCTAACTAATTTAGCGTATGCACCATTGTTTTCTAGAAGTTGTTGATGTGTACCCTGTTCAGACACAATACCATTGTCAATAACATATATAATATCAGCATTTTGTATTGTAGACAATCTATGTGCGATAACTATACATGTTCTACCTTCTTGAGCATTATCTAAAGCTGTTTGCACAACCTACAATAATAAAGTATAATATTAAAAAAATGGTGGAAATTCAATATCATGAACAGTTAGCAAATGAAATTAGCGGATGATTTGGACATATTTATGCATTCATTAATCCATTCAATGGAAATTACAATAAAATCACATAACAGAGTAAATTTATTTCCAGATTAATATTTCTTTTAATTAACTATGCAGACTCTCCAAAATTAAAAATATTTGGGAATTGTTTTGGATTTTATTATGGTTTGCGAATTGTGAATGTATTTTTTGGGCAGACATCTTGAATAAACCTTGCTCTAAGATGTGAGACACAGCAATTTTCCACGATTACCATCTTAAAACACATTTATCATCACAATAGCTAGTAAAAAATAATAGTATACTTTTTGCCCGTCTCACTTTCTTCAATGTACCTACCTTTTCACTCTCTGTATCTAAGGCAGATGTAGCTTCATCTAAGAGGAGAATTCTGGGATTTCTAACTAAAGCTCTAGCAATAGCCACTCTTTGTTTTTGTCCTCCTGATAACTGAGCACCCTTCTCACCTACCATTGTATCATAACCCTACAAACAAAACAATGTACGTCACTATAGATTCAGAGTAATACATAACTACAAGTGTATCTATATAGTGCTATATGGGTACTTGAATGTATTTTGAATATACAATCCTCATGTATATGTATGTACAAATCATTAGAATACTGTACATATTTTAAGTGTGAGATAAGTCCATTTAAGAATGTACATGTACATGCACATGCAAATTATAATATATTCAAATGTAAAATGACTAGATGTCTGATTACACAGACTTCTAAACTGATATAGGAAGGAAATCATTCAGGACCAAAATAATACTCAGATGTCAGATATCACAGAATACACTGTATCTTAATGTGTGATTTAAGTATGTGTATATGACATCTGTCATAATGTACATATTGTATGTACATGCATATGTATATGTATAAGTGAATACATAATATGTTCAGAAACTCACCAATGGTAGACTATTAATAAAATCATGAGCATTAGCAGTCCTAGAAGCTTGTATAACTCTGTCCATTGGTATATCTTCTTCTAGACCATAACATATATTATCTTTTATACTACAGTCAAATAATATAGGTTCTTGACTAACAACACTTATAAATGATCTCAATGTAAGTAGATGCATAGTGTTAACTGGTATACCATCTATAGTCTGAAATGAGGGCATTATTATTGAAACATTCAATTGATTTCATGAAAGAAACACTATATTTGATTTGATAAGAACTTGGTTTTAAAAGAACCTGTATACCAGCTGATCTGTGGCATGATCTTTGTAAATGTTGACAAGATCAAAATCCACAACCAATATTTACGTAACCAAGTACATGGTGTCTAACACTTCAACTAAATTCTCCTTTCTCAAAATTCTTAGTTGGTGCTTTGATTTTCACTATTAAAAAAAGCAGCTAAAAAAAGCAGGTGATAATCTTATTTCTAAATCAAATAATGATATTGTAGGGCATGTACTTACTATTTCTCCATGTAAAGGATCGTAATATCTCTGTATAAGGGAGATAACTGTTGATTTCCCACAACCACTGACACCAACCAGTGCTGCTGTTTGGCCAGCTTCCACCTTTAAACTTAGCCCCTGTAATACTTTGACATCCGGTCGTAATGGATAGGTAAATTCTACATTACGTAATTCAATCTCTCCTTTCAAAGACACCTATAAAGATGGTTAATTTATGGAAATTGATAAAATTTAAAGATAGCTTGCCTACTGGCAGCTTTGATCTTAAACAAAAATATTTGGCAGTACAGTAACAATTACCAGTATGAAATATTCAGACATACACTTCTTCTGAACTTTTTGGGGCAATACTGTATAATATTACCAAGTTTCATCAAAATCTGTCAAGAATTGGGCCTTCTGGAGTGTTAACAAGCTAAACTTGAACGTGTTTTCAAGGACAAGGACAATGACTCATACTAATTTTCGATTTTTCTGATTTCCAATAGGGTTCATCTTTGGGTGATTACAAACAATCAGTGTCCTTGAAATCAGCCAAGAATTGTGCCTTCTAGAGTGTTTATGAGCAATTGTGGACGGAGGGAGGGACGGACAGACATACAGACTTCGTGATGACAATACACGCTCTACATTTCATGTGAGCATATTAAAAATGACTATAATAAGGATACAATATTGAAGTCTTTTGTGAGTTACACATGTACCCTCATCAAGTCCCATCAAGATAGGACGAGAAATATACATGTAGTCTGAAAAAAATTTACTTGTACTTAAAAGAGTTTTCATAGTGCATTAGAAAATATATTGATCATCAAGTTGTTGTTACAATCTGGACTAAGTTTTAAGATTTAACATCTTTAAGAAGATAAAAAAGACAAACTGATGACTTACAGGTCTCTGTCCTCTAGCACTAAATATATCTATACCAGGGAACGTAGCTAGAATCCTGAAGATGTATGCTGATGATAGCTTGGCTTTGGAATAATCTGGTAGGAAAGATGTTGCCTGCCCTACAGCTAACCCAGTAAAAGCTATAGCGAAGAATACCCTAAAATAGATTTACAAAATCAGTTGTATGTCATAAGTACACATTATCAAGGCCAATTTCTTGAAAGTGTTCCAATCATCAATCACCAAAATGGATTTTAAATTCAGTTGTATCAACCGATCAGACTATTTTGTTGTTTTGTTGTTAATTATTCACAGCTTAAAAGGTTTTTCTTTTATGTGGGTCAGCATTATATTAGGGATATACAGTATTCAAAATGAGACTTTCAGAATGAGTTATATACTGACGAGGGCCTGATTATTCAAACAAAACATGAGATGTTATCAATCAAGTAAAAAAGTAAATATTTTACCTAAATACTTTGTCAGGTTCCATATCATTTATAGCTACTAAATAGGCACCAAATCTAAAGGCACCAGCATACAGTAGAAATATCACTCCTTGAGAGAAACCATAAGCTATAGCATAGACAACAGCGTGTTTCATATTGGCCCTGAAATGTATTGAAATTTATAGATAGATATTCCTACTTGACATTGTATTTGAATCATTTGCATCCATTTAAATCTCGGTTCCATAGTTGTTTCATTATTCAGGGACAAGGCCAATAACTCTGTTTCTAATCATCAAACAGTCTCATTGTAGACTCTGTAGCTTAAATAGGGAATATGAATGTTTTGAAGACCAGAACAATGTATATACATCTATGTAGAGAGATGTTGGTGTAGAAAAATAAGGAGCAGGAATGGATTAAAAGTGTGCATTAAAATGGGTTTAAGATCTAAGACTGAGGATCTTATATGCTTGAATTCTACCAGGTGGTACCAGGTGGTACAAACTAGAACAAAAGTATCACAGAACTTATTTTAGAATTAAAGAGATACATACTGGAATGGTTTCAACAACATCTGAGCATATCTATCATAGAAATGTTTTTCTCTGGTCAGAGACTGAACAGTCCTAGCATTTTCTACAGCTTCACTTGATGTCTACAAAAACAATTCAACAATAGTAAATAGTTAGTTTTCTATACCTTGGCCTCATTTGGCACTTCTTTTTGTATCACAAATGTTTACAATTTAAGGGATTTGATTTGGTTGTATGTTATCTCACACAACTGACAGACGCCTAGACGGTTTATTCCCATATCGCCCCTTCCCATTACGCTCCCAATTTATTTCCATTTTGGCCTTCCCATTTCGCCACTTCCCATTGTGTCCCTTCCCGATTCACCCCTTTTTTATTTTGCCCTTTTCACATTAAGCCCCTTTTTCATTTCGCCCGTACCGTTCTGCCCCCTACCCATTTGGAGAGAATTGGGAAGAGGCAAAATAGGAAATTACACACAAAGCCATATTGTTTAAGTCTTTCTGTAGTGGGCTCTGATAAGCTGTATATGCTAGGTCATATCAAATTGCTTTATCTACTTCTGTGATACAAGAAAAGTGAAAAGTGACAATGATGTCAAGGTATTAGAAGATGTTCATTACATGGGATCTGGTTTCCTGTTAGGTTAAGTCACAATATGCTGAACTGTATTGTCAAGTCTTATATCAAACTTACTTTGCCAGCTTCTTCTAATAACTCAGCATCTTTTTTCTGTCCCCCCGATAAAGTTTTCATATGAAGAGCACCTGCAAGGAAAATGAGCCAATCATTCATTTTGAAATGCACACATTTTGGGGGATATTTATGGTATGATTGACAACAAACACTGGATCTTTTCAATTAAAAACATAAAGTGATCTTCAGTTGGAGTTCTGTGTTTCTTGCAATTGGAATAGTGCAAATCAATGCTATACATGTCCTTAATATACATATGTGAGTCGCTTGATTGGTGAACTCTGGAATCTACAGAATGTTCAATAAAACAACTTGGAACAGAGTTAAGAATGCATTCAAGGAGCCAAAAAAATTAGTAGGTGCAGACAGAATTTAGAATGGCGGAGTACGAAATTTATACAAAATTTCTAATGTGACGTACTACGTAGCCACTTTAATATTGTTCAATTGAGGGCAGAATCGGAAAAGACCGAACCAAGAAGTTAAGATAAAGGCTTTAGAATCATAAATTAGTTGTCAGTAAAAGGGATCTTACCTGCCAATGCCATGATAGGAACAGCAGCACAAATGACTAGAGCTAGTTTCCAACCATAGACAAAACCAATAGTTATTCCTGCTATTAAACTCACTGCAGATTGTAACATAATACCTATTCTTATACCAGTAGCCTATAAATATATTAACATAATACATATTATTATACCAGTAGCCTATAAATATAATAACATAATACCTATTCTTATACCAGTAGCCTATAAATATGCTAACATAATACCTATTATTATACCAGTAGCCAATAAATATAATAACATAATACCAATTATTATAGCAGTAGCCTATAAATATAATAACATAATACCAATTATTATATCAGTAGCCTATAAATATAATAACATAATACCTATTCTTATACCAGTAGCCTATAAATATAATAACATAATACCTATTCTTATACCAATAGCCTATAAATATAATAACATAATACCAATTATTATACCAGTAGCCTATAAATATAATAACATAATACCAATTCTTATACCAGTAGCCTATAAACATAATAACATAATACCAATTATTATACCAGTAGCCTATAAATATAATAACATAATACCAATTCTTATACCAGTAGCCTGTAAATATAATAACATAATACCAATTATTATAGCAGTAGCCTATAAATATAATAACATAATACCAATTATTATAGCAGTAGCCTATAAATATAATAACATAATACCTATTCTTATACCAGTAGCCTATAAATATAATAACATAATACCTATTCTTATACCAGTAGCCTATAAATATAATAACATAATACCAATTATTATACCAGTAGCCTATAAATATAATAACATAATACCTATTCTTATACCAGTAGCCTGTAAATATAATAACATAATACCTATTCTTATACCAGTAGCTTATAAATATAATAACATAATACCTATTCTTATACCAGTAGCCTATAAATATAACAACATAATACCTATTCTAAAACAATAGCCTATAAATATAATAACATAATACCTATTCTTATACCAGTAGCCTATAAATATAATAACATAATACCTATTCTAAAACAATAGCCTATAAATATAATAACATAATACATATTCTTATACCAGTAGCCTATAAATATAATAACATAATACCAATTCTTATACCAGTAGCCTATAAATATAATAACATAATACCTATTATTATACCA